TTTTAGTACATTCCTTCCTCATACCTTACAAACACTACCTCTATTACGAGAAACAGCAAATTTCATTTTACAATGAAGCATGGGATTCTTTAAATTTTCACCAATCATTTTAATGAATCCCTAGGAAAGGGTCCAAAGAAATTGCTCACATGCAAAGACTGGATCCTATATATTTCTGAAATACAGGTTTATACAAAACATCCCATCCATTATTTTGATAAAGATACCAAAAGCCAGTTAAGGTAAGCTTCAATTATTCTTCTCCTATTGAATTCTGAACACCAACAACTGTCATAAACATAGCAAATTCAAGCAATGTTCTACTTTTTATAGCTTTACAGTTATTTTACATATCTTTTGGAAACCATTATCACAGTTCTTGTAATTCAGTTTACTGCCAGTATAGTCCTGACATTTAACCAACGCCTTTACTCTGGAAGACTGTCATTAATGAGAATACAGGAACAGCAGCTCAGGTTATATAACTGTTGGGTTGTGATTTTGGATGACAGCCATTCTAAACAGTGCCTACAGTTTCAACACAGTAGTATTTAGCCTAACTTGCTTCAGACTAAACTGTTAAAGTACATCCTGATGCTTTGGTAGTCACCTGCGCAATTCATGTGCTAACACATGACTTGTCTCCTGATTAAATCTTCCAATGCATTAGCAACAACAAGAGCTGATGGACATAAAAGGCAGACAATAAGCAATTTACAAAAAAGCTGTATTGGCTTCCTCCAGAATTGTATTAACAGCATCTCAATTTTTTTATACAGGTAAAATATTAAGCCCTGAGATAATGTAGTGATTTGGGGCTAGTTTCTCCTTAGCTTGTCTTGATTCTTTGCAGGAAGGATAAGTGCACAAAATAATTTGATGTACTACTGACATTTTCTCTTTTTATTTTCTTCTTTGCCTGTGTAATGTAAGCGAGGCACCACTGTATCTAGTATATACATAGTATTGCAAGGGAATAAGCCAATTAAGGCAAGGATTTTGCATCCAAAAAGGATAAAACAAGTTCCAGGCTGTATCCTCACATGCAATAAATACACATGGCTGACAGCAGATGTCTAACTTTTGGAATATCTAGTATATACATAGTATTGCAAGGGAAATACTTATTGAGTGAGACTAATAGCATCTTTTCCAACAACTTAGCAGTGCTTTCATTAATTATGGCTGCTTTTGGTTTAAGTCCAAAAATTCAAACACTATTGAAAAGACCCATACTGATGCCTTCCAAGACTGGAATGTCCATTTCCTCTTAAAGAACAGAGAAGGAAAATAATAATAGGATGGGGTTTTTTTTGTACTCTTTGCATTTCATCTGCTACTTGTAAATTGCCCTTGAAGCTGTAATGAAAGCAATTGGATATAACTGCATGCAGTTAAGTAGGCAAGTAAGTAAAATGTATGTAAGATTATAAAATTTATGACAGCCAGAATAACACCAACTGTGTTTCACCAGAATAATAATAATAAGCAAAGTGTGCTTTCCAATGACATATTTATTTCCCTGGTGTTAGCTTTGATAACTATATCCATACAAATCTGCCACTATTCTGTCAGATGTTAACTAGTGGTGAGAAGCTACCCAGGGCCAGATCTAGATCTGAGAGGAGTCCTGTACTAAGTAGCTTCTGGCGAGGACCCTCCACTTTTGGTGGATGTTGAAGGGCTTACATGACCAAGGTGGCAAGCAAGCAGTGCTCCAAGGAGCACCACACCGATAAGCATGGCTAACTAGATTTCTCACAAGGTCCTAGAGTGACCCTGCATCAGTGGCAGTGTAGAGCATTTTAAAAGGCAGCTAGACCTAACCCATGTGGTGCTGTCCAAAGCAATGAAAACAATGTCCATGTAAGAGGAACCTAGGACATTTATCTTCGGTGGACCTTGGGAGGATACTGAGACCCTAGCAGTTTCCCGAGGGTGACATCTATTAAGACCAGACCTGAGGTCTTCACAGATGTTTGATACTATGTATACAAAATAGTAGTGACATATATGATTACCAATATTGGGTCTAAGTTGCATTTCTTTATGCAGAAGATGAAGATGAATTAAGGGAATAGGGCTTTTGCACCGACATAGTTCTCTGCAAGCACAAAGACCAGGCAACTTCACTCTTATGTCAGTGTAACTTATGCCCCTCCAAATGTACTATGGAGAATTCTATATTAACTGCCTCAAATACTCTTGATATTACTTCTTCTTGGGCAAAATTATCTGACATACAGTACTCATCTAAACCACAATTTTTTAAAACTAGTTTGCATTTTAGATGTGGTTATGTACAGACTGCTGCCTAATTTCTGATACAAAGAAAGAAAAGAACCAATCACACACACACAAAAAGACATTTATTTATTTTTAAACTTGTCTTTCTCTAACTGTCTGGCCATATCTGTTATTCTGGAGAACCAGATAAGCCTGCCAAAGCAAGCAGCCATTTTCAGCTTCACTACGTTTCTGGGTTCAAAGCAATATCCTTCACCACTAAACTTCCCACGATGGCCAAACTATCTAAAAAGTAGCCCCAAACATGTGGCTGATATCACTATAACATGCATCTACATCCAGAGAGCAAAAGGCCAGTTCCTTACATCTTTGTCTCCAAGGGTTTCAAGCAACAAAAGCAGAATAGTCTTGAAATGTTCTTCCCAAACTCCCAGGTTATCTTCCCTTGTAATCTTCAATAGCTCAAGAAGGGCTCCTTTCCGTTCTTCTACCCGTTCATTGTGATTAGATAATTCTTTTAGAAGATCCGCCACCAAATCAGAGTGATCAATGGGCACTGATGGAAGAAGTAATATGCAAGTCACTTCATAATGAAAGCAAACAAGCAACAACTGCAATAAATGGCTGAAGATGGGACACAATCAAAATAGTTCTTGCTAATGAACCTATATTTTTATTTTGCTTGCCTGATTACACAGTTTTATCCAGAAAATTATTATACGCTCTGTCTTGGTGTTATAGTTTATAACCATGTCACCATTAAAGCTTTGTTTGTTTGTTTTTATTTTGTTTGGTGGAAGGGGAACACCGATGAAAACACGTGATGCTTCAGTTTTGTTTTGTTTGGTGGAAGGGGGACACCGATGAAAACACGTGATGCTTCAGTTCTCAAGACCTTTCTTTTCATTTTTATGCAGAAAGCACCTTTGATTTCATAATAATAATAATTATGTGCCATTATGTCAATTCTGACTTATGGTGACTCATAAGGGAAATGCATTTCTGAAGTTTCTCTTTTCAATGACATGAAAACAGAGTCCACAGAGTCAAGGCCCTGGTGGCCCTGGTACCACCAGCTGAACACCTGTGCCAGGCCTCAGACACCATGCTAGAGTCTGCTGTATTGGAAGCAGGATCTCTGAGAGATCCCTCCCTTAAGCCTAAAGTCCCATACACCTCTGCCCTTATTTGCTAGTTGAGTATCACAGAAAGTGCCTCAGTTAGGAGGCCATGGGGACTAAGAGAAACAAAGAGGCAGCTGGAGGTAGTAACTCAAAAGGCCACATGCTCTTGGGAGGATTGCTCTTACAGAGCTATCCATGGACTGTAACTACCAAACTGCTTTGCACAATCCATCTCATATTCTGGACAACTTGACAGAATAAGGCGAAGATGTGCAGGCACTCCATTTGCACAGTGAAGGCTAGTTAAGACAGAGGGAAAACGTTTTTGCCTCTCGCCCTAATTTTCATTCACAAAATTTAAGCTTTTTGTTGCTCTTCCCACTTCCCTTTCCCCCTTTTTAGCTGCAAGTGACAGTTAAGCATCAGTCAGAATTCCAGTGGACATCCATATTCCATCACAATGCCTTAGTTGGAGAGATACTACCAGAGGGCTGTATGTGTGTGTGATATATTGACTGCCTAGTGATGATTGAAGTTCCTCTCTCCCCCTAAAATAACAGTACTTCATGATATGCCATTTTAGCTGAGTAGTTTGAGGGGAATATGGTGGCCTGCTGAGTGACTGACCAAGGCAGCATTGCAGTAAGAATTTCAAAAGAGAGAAAAAAAATGTGGCTGATGATATTTTCCCCAGTGAACTGTGGACTACCTGTCTATCTTTGAATTCTTTCACTGTCCCCCAAGAAACTGCAAAATGCTGCTCTGTGTTTGCATCTTGCCAATGGGTCAATAGAATGGGGCACCATTTTCAGCTCAGTCTTGGAGGCAACTGTAAAACAATTGGTTTCATGAATGAACCATCACTGGCTCCAGGAAGCAGAGTGAAAGGTAAGTACAAATTGATCTTTGTGCCCTCATGCACAGGAGACTCATACCACGAAGCTGTGGCAATTCTCAACTCCCTGGCTCAAGTATCCAAGCATTCAGGTTCATATATCTCTCCTTTGTGTATTTTCTGCAACAAACACTGATGGAATCCTGGTACAGAAGGGCTTTAAAAGGGAAGGGGCTTTAACAAATACTCTGTGTTGTCTTCTTGTTCCTTTTGTGTGTGCAATTCTGACAATCCTGCTGGGCCAATTCACTCTCTGCCAGGCTTTCAACCCACAAAGTGAATGGAAAATTTCTCATTTATATTAATAAAAAGAGACGGAGATCATGGAAAAAAATATATAATTGTCAAAACCGTATGTCCTTAAGAATTAATTATGGACACCCATATTTTACAGCAAAGACAGAACTGGCCTAGAGTTTAGAAAACAAACCAAAACCAACCATCTCGGAGTTGATCGATATCATCATCAAACACAGCCTCTTTAAGAGCACTCTTGTCGTAGGAGCTGATAGTATCCGAATACGGATAAGGGTTATATTCTCGGGTTCGGGGTCCTGAAAAGGCACGTGGGGGCTGAGTGTTGAGTAGGGAAGTTTTGTTGTCGAGAGCCATCCTTCCTCCTTCCACAACATCACTGCTTCCACGCATATCTGTGGCTGAAGATGCTATTCCACCATCCCGAGAAACCTGCAAGAATGTTGCAAGCAAATGCTGTAAAATTACTTTATTGGGGGTAACTTGCAATAGCCAGAGGTAATGTCACCTTAGTAACATGTTGCACTTCGATAGAAAAATGTTTTAGAATGTGACTAAGCCATAATTATTATCCATGATAGGACTGGTTATACATCTAAGTTAGAACAGACAAGATGGAACTGGGATTCTCGAGCTGAGGTATTCTGTTATATGTCATGGAAGGTGGAGGCAGAGTAGTGAATTAGGCCAAAGTTTACTTCAACCATCATTAATAAAAATGGGCATTAACAATGACAAACGGGTTGAAAATGTTCTCTCTGGGGAAAAAAATTATTCAGAATCACTGCAGTATTTTAATCACTGGCTGGGTCCCCCAGGTAAGAAAATTTAAAATTCCTTTCAAAGCCAACAATAGTTACTTACAATGTCACTGTCCTTCTTTCCATCTCGTTTAATTGGTTCATTTAGATCCTCTTGGCTACGAAAACTAAACTTTTCAATTGCTTCTGTGACCCCACGAAGCGAGCTGTAAATTTCATCAGAATTTAGGTTCTCCGTGTCGTAATCCAGCATGCTAAAGATCGAATATATACAGAAAGTTAAAATCAAGGAATGATTGATTTGATCTTGAAGCTAAATATAACTCATCAGGACAACCATAAATGGGACTTCAATTTCAAAATTTGCTATTTTTCACAACTCATGAATTCAGACTCCAGCAACACACAAAGGATTCAGATACTGGTCCTCTGAGATATAAAGGCTGCTAATGCCACATTCACATGGTGAACATGAATATCCAACAAACCTTTCACCGAATCAACTTCATAGCATGACAGAAGTAATTCAAAACAATAGTTTGTCACAACTTTAATTATATTTTCTCATAATACCAGAAACCAAAAGACACACAAAGAGCATCTTTTTCTATATGAAGTTCAAACTTCCCAGTTGCCTCTGCCAAAGCTTAGCTCCAAAATATATGAAAAGTTATGGTAGCTGATTAGTAATACTGATAAGTATCAATGGTAATGGAAGCTCAAAAGTCATGGCATTATGGACTCAATGCCTGAAATACATACATTTTATTCCAGGTGGGTTTTGCATTTTAATTTGAAAGGAACCTGTGTTAAAGATTTCCAGGGATTAAATGAATAATATCCAGAGGGAAAGCTAACTTAACTGAAATTTTAAGTGTGCATTGAAAGAAAGAAAGAAAGAAAGAAAGAAAGAAAGAAAGAAAGAAAGAAAGAAAGAAAGGAAGGAAGGAAGGAAGGAAGGAAGGAAGGAAGGAAGGAAGGAAGGAAGGAAGGAAGGAAGTATTGTTAACACCACTAGGATACCAAGTTCTTCATTGGTACAACTGACACTTGATGACATCTCTGGATCATCCAAGTTGCTCACAGGCAACCCAAAGAGCTGCATCACAGCAAGCATCATTGATGCTAAAGGGATTGCATTACTGGAATATTTGGAGTGGATTTGCAGGAGAAGAAATGAAGAAAAGAAGCTCCATTTGTCTCTAATAGTTTCTTGTGGTGCTTGCTGGAGACTTAAAACAGCACAATATACGTCACAAGTGAGTGTAACATATGAATAAAAAATTATGAGATAATATATCATTATGGGGAGAAAACCAGCATCTTGCTACTTCCTAAAAATTCCTGTTACCAAATTCCTACAAATACCTGTAACCATCTGCTATGCAAAACACTTGTGGTTATGAGCATGAATCTTGGATTGTAAAACAATGCCAGGACCTTTATCTTCATATATCTTTGCCACCAAATTGCTTAATGCATTCACCTTTCACAACTGCTCTGCATAAAACAAAAGAGGTTCTGGCAAGGCATCAGACTAGTCTCTAGATTTGCACACTCAAAGCTTAACCTTATTAGCCATGCCCCTGGTGCCTTTTCTAACTAGATCAAATACTGGCAGTGCTATCTATGCAAATCTGGAGATTCCAACTTCCTAAGGGAAAACAAGTGAAAATTGTGTGTGGAGGGAAGTTCCACTCAACATAACCAGTTGGAAAAAATGTTTGCATCACTTTTCTCAGATTTGTAATTCAAAATTACATAATTAGTTGTGAAAAACACATAGGTCTTTTTAAAGGGAATGAAAAAATATATTAAAATCATGACTTTGGGACAATTCTTGAGGTGGAATGTATTCCTGGCTAAAATAATAATGAAAAACAACAAGCACTAGCAGTAAATGAATTTAAATTCTGCCAAAGAGTCAACAGCCATAATTCAAAAGGTATGGCACACGGCCAAGTTAGATGCAAGGATAGTATTCACAGGTCTATACTGTCTGCAGATGGAACAGGGTGTGGAGGTTTTCAAGTTTTACAGCAAGTGCATTGAAGTGAGGGTGACTGATAGTGCTAGCAATCACAAGCCAGTATACTTTATAGCTATTTTGTGTTTTTATCCTTAACTGATCTTGTGTGGTAAGAAAAAAGATTACTAAAGCAATGGCAAAACGTACAAGGGTTGAATGCGTTACTCTCTCCTTTAATTTCCCTGGAACGTTTCATGTATGAAATAAAATAATAACACGTCAAAAGGCCTGTCTGGAAGGGCTACCAGGCTTCTGGGGCACAAGTGAGTTCTTTTATCCTAGAATGGACGAATGTGTATAAACAAATGAGGTTGCGCTCAACATATGTAATTTAGCCCAGAGAAACTAAAATCAAAGAGTCATAAGGTGATCGCCCATCACAGAAAACAAACAGCACCTCAGCTGAGAAGATGTCTTACAAAATGGAAAAACATTTCACCTCAATGAACTAGAATTGTAATTATCTAGAAGAATTTCTTCGCTTGGAAAAGATTCAAGAACTGCTAACAAGATCTATGTCTCCTGAATTATTTGAGTTTTGTGAATACTGGGAACAGACACCACACATCCTGGATTTCTGTTAGTGTACTCACTGAGCAACACCAGGCCTACTAGAACCACTAGAACTTTATGTACATGGTACTTTGGGCAAAGCAGCCAAAAGCAACTCCTACACTCTTTAAAAAAACCAAAAATTTGGAAGGATGGTCCTGCTTGGAAAGAAAAAAGTCGCCTGAGTGCAGATGAGAGAAGAGAACAAGTGCTTCTGTTGCAATGCTGCATATATTTTCTCTTTATTTACTGCATTGCATTTATAGCTGCTCTAGCCATTGCAACATAAAACAAACCATAGCAAAAACACACATAAAATAGTTTCCGAAGAGATACAGGACAAAGTTCTTGCAGTTTTTCCTGAACAAATGATTATTCAAATAGCTCTCAAGCAAAGTTCTCAGCAACAATGTTCCGCATAATAATAAGAGACTTAGCTTCCCACAAAATGTGTGCAATATATTTTCCCAGTCATGGACAGGATTAATACAGAAAAGTGCAGACCAACTTCTCAGACCAGCTTCCTGTGAGACTTAAGAGAGAGAAGAGACTCTGGGAATGTAGGCAATAATGCTTAACATCTGCACAGCTGAATTATCTATATGCCTGTATTTAGGTATAACAGCAAATCCAGATGAAAAAGTCACAATTGTTCAAGTGAAACAACACCAATGCTTCACTCTGCTAAAAATAAAAAACAAACAAACCGCAAGCCTTTTCAACTGCACCTTACAGTCAATTTTAACAGCCTTTATCTCTCAGGCTGCAAAAATAAATTAGAAAATATAAACCTAGTCTCATTAGCCAGATGTGTTAACTTGGGAATAAAGTCACATTGTGGCAGCACAATCCATTTAAAAAAAAAAGTCTGATGAGAGGGAAAAAAGTGGCTCTCATTCTGGCACTGGAACGACAATGGCAGCAAAGAATGCTCTGCTCTGATTATGATGTCAACAAAGAAGAACCACAGACGTACGTACACCAGCACTGCATCATTATCCCAACCACTCGACCATCATTAAGCTACCTCTCTTCTTCTATGCTCTGTTCTCTGTCTTGGAACTGATTCACCAAATTCTGTGGCTCTCATTACTACCTGAGTACACAATCATTTTACATTCATTTTATCCCAACCCATCACTCCCTCTATACAGCCATACTTCTCCAGCTGCTTATAAGATACAGCTGCTACTCAGATGTATCAAGCTTGCTGTACACCCACGACAATTTTTTCTCTTTTCCACTTTCAAACCTTCCTCTCTGTCTCTCTTCCTTTCAACCCCAGCTCAAATATCACCTCTGCTGTGAAGTTTCTCTAAAGCTGTAATCCAGTCATGTGGCACTGAAGCAAAGCAACTATGGCTGCTCACGTTCCTCTCTTGATCTTCTACCTCCTGTCCTTCCACTGGTTTATTAGTCTTGCCTCTTCCTGTTGTCCTCTCTGCATGTTTGCATTTAGACTGCAGGGCAGGGAGTAAAATTTTGTTTATATTACTCTGCATTCTGCCCTAAAACCTAAGTGATCACAAGCATAATAATGCACATATACTGGAAATGTTATTTGCAACTGTTAATTTGCCATTGTGTGAATTTTTTGCGGGGGGGCATTATTTCAGAGCTTGGTATTTTTTTTGAAGGATTTAAGCATTATTTTGTAATTATCTAGCTCAGACAGAGTTAACTCAGACAGAGCGTATTATTTTAAAACATAACATATGAGCAGCACAATTAAACAAATGCCTGGGTTATGTCATGTTACTTGTTTCATGGAATGGAATTTATTTGAAATCTTAAAAATATCTGTGGGATCCAAAATCCACAAGGGAAGAACTTGTTTTTATAACCTGAAAACAAATTATTATAAAATAATCCACAATCGAAAGAAAAGCAATTCCTTTAAAGAGTAACCACATGTACAAGCAAATACATTTAGGCAGTACAGGAATTTTATGATACACAGATAATGTCAGGGGAGAGAGAGAAAGGAAGAAATGAAAGATGAAAAGCATCCATTTACAATAAATAAATACATCCTATCAATCACATAAGATAGAAAACAATGATTCATGCAGATAACTGGAAGTGTTACAAGGTGAACAAAGAGATGAGGAGAAATGTGTGACTTAAAAGATGTCACAATATTATTTTCCAACTGCCACAGCCTCCAACAACTACAAGTTTTAGGATACAGAGCTCGCCAATATCTGGAACTTTTAATATTTCTGAATGCAAATCAAGGTTGGCCTCAAAGGTGAACAAAAGTTCTTGCAAATATCAACAATCCACTTCTTTGTTAGCTCTCAGTATCTGAGCTAGTGGGATGTTCCTCAGTCTCTTTTCAGGTTCAATGCTACAGTCATTGTTTTGCTTGCATGGCTCATAATCATCAGTAAAGTAACTTGTGAGGTCTACAACAGAGTCTGTCACCAGTGAAATAATTGGGAACATTTTCTACTAATTTTACTATTCTCTGTTCAGTTATTCTTTGTGCAGGGCTGGATGCTTAGCACCAAAAAAAATTAATACTGAGTGAAACCCAACTTTCAGCAAACAAACATTAGCTCTTGAAATACAGTTTTCTCCTACTCTCATCCCTTTTGCATCCTGTGTGCCTCAAAAATCTGCTTCAGAGAAAGGCGGAATGAGCAACTTTCTGTTCATAATGGAAGCAGTTCCATCTGTGGGAAGATCTGACTGGGCCAGACTCAACTGGTGATTTGGGAGATATCACCTCAAACTGAAAATGGCAGGTCAAAAATCGGGACAGCTTTAGTTGCCTCAGTCCAGAAAACTGCTGCGCATAAGCTGAAGCATGCTTGGGCTTGCCTAATCCTTGCTAGATGCCAAACTTGTCTTACACCTACAAAGCTATAATGGTGAATGAATGCCAGAGAACACTGACGTGGACACGGCTCCCCAGCATGGATCTAATGAGCTCTTACAAGTGCATGTCGTCTCTTCATACTTCAATTTGCAGCTAAGGACAAAAGCCTGCTAGAATAAAGGCGAGTGCTCTTGCTGTATTAAACATGGACTAGCGTCAGTTAACAGTGTCCATTTATGGTTACTGACCTCAATTAATTAAAATGTGCAATAGCCAAGGCCATGCATGCACGCATATCAGTAAATAAAGCTGGACTCCTACCAACTGACTGTTTGGGTAGAAAAGTGGTACAGAAAGGAGAGAAGTCCAGCTCCACGCTTCTCCCAAACTGTGGGATTGTAGGTGCCGGATGAAGCTGGAAAATGAAACAAGCCACTACACTTCAGAAATATTTATCCCGGTTGTAAGAATATACGCAGCAAACAAATTTGGTACATGAAATGTGAACCAAATCCTATGTAGCTGGGCAAGTACTGGCTCTCACTGTTGCTGAGAGAGCAAGACAAACCAAATGAAGAGAGAATATATTATCCTGATATATTATCTACCTCAAGGATGCTTAGAGACCTGTTGTCCCTCTTGGAGCACGAGACACTATAATTCTGCATTAGCAACTCTTCTAGGTAGTTTTAGTTATCTCACCTGACCTCAAGGTCAATCTGCACTCACATGCTGCCTTTGGTTGCCACTTTCTATGCGATCACCTGATTTCTAGCATGAGACTCTACCTCAGGCATTAAGTGCATCTACTAATTTAAAAGGGAAGTAGGTGTAACAGTCTTAGCTTGGCACGAGAGCTTGTGTAAAACAGGCCCTGACCCTGCTCTCTAACTGCAGTGCTTCCAGCAGAAGGAATGAAGAAAGAGATGAATACTTTCTGAGATATCTGTGCAATGGGTTGATAAGTAATGCTTCTGGGACAGAGTAAAAGGAGCTGTGATTTCTCCACAGATAAAAGCACAGGACAAAAAGGTGCCATCCCTCTCCATGTCCCCTGGACCTAGCTGTTTGAAAGCACTCTACTGAGCCAAAAGGTAAATAACATTGTGACACCTCAGACAAGTTGGATTAACAGGTAGCTTGTTACCTGGGAGAATAAGAGCGCCTGAAAGTCTTGTGAGAAGGAGCGGCGGGGATGGAGTTAGGCTGAAAAAGGGGAGGGGGATGCTTCGACAGCCCATCTGCACTCCAACCCCAGAAACGACTGCAGTGATCACAGGAAGAAAGAAAGAGAGAGGGATGGGGAAAACAGAAAAAGGGAGAAAACAAAACTATAATCTGAGTGGCTGAGTCTTTTCATGCTTTCCCAGCGAGAGAGAAACTTAATAGAAACAAATCTGGTAGGAATACTCCATTTTATTCTGCCATTCACTGACACCCAGCACCAACAGATTTAGTTCTTCAAGGATTTTAAGGCAGTACATATATTTATAATGCTTTATAGGTGAGGGATACTATTCTATCGTTGAAATTAATGAAAATTTAGTCAATGGCTTATTCTGATCATAGCTTCCACTCATTCAGCTAATTTTTAAGATGCCATGATGAATTATAAATGCATCTGGAGTAAATCTATTTGTATAGTAGAATATCTAAATGGCTTCACAACTAGCCAAGCGTGGAAAGTCAAGACAGGTGCTCCAAGCATACCTGTCGATGACAAGAATATAACCTATAACTCTGACTTCAAATAAAACTTCAACTAAGTCTAGTGATTTATTGTTACCAGTATATCTCTGCTCCTTTCAGGGAATATACAAGCTATATGAAGAGTACCAATTGATAGTTCCGCACAATTTCTTGCAATGCACCCTATGAGCAGTTGGCTTCCTTAACCCACACCACCTTGATGCTCAATAATTTAAATAAATTTCCTCATTTGCCAGGCTTGAAGGAACTGAATAGATCATGGAGGAGAGGGGAAATTAAGTTATTGGTGCGTAAACTAGAAAGTAAAAACAAAATGTTCTGGCCTTTCACTGATAATGACCCATGGCTCTGCTCCAAAAGGTGATTAGCTCTACTATTTGTATCCTCAGATGTCAGAAGCAGTAAAGTATTCTCAGCCTTTGGTCCTATTTAGAGTGGGAGAAGAGTTCAATTTCACCTAACCACTTCTGATGACTAAAGACTTCAGTCAAAGAAAATGCAAATATGAAGCTTTCCCCAAATGCTGTGTCTCCACATACAGTATTACATTATTAAGAATCAGTCTTTTTTTTTACAAAAGTTGAAGCCCACATTTATTTCTGTCTCAAGTATTATTTACAGGTAGTGTTGTATCATAGTTGGTATTTTTTTCCTTTTGCTCCTATTCATTTTTGCTATTATCTTTCCTTTGAAAATATCAACCGAGATAGGAAAGAGGGCCCTGAAGATTATACACTTCTCCTTACCTCATTCTTCCTGCCTGTTCAGTTTTCCTCATCCTTTCCCAAACTTAACCAGAGTGCAGACTCTCCGTTAAGAATTAAATATCTTCCAGAATTTTCTTGTGGAATTGAACCTTACTTTAAATATTGTCTTTTAATAATGTAAGCTGCCTTGGATCCTTTTTAAGGAGAAAGGTGAGGTAAAATATTTTAAATAAACAAATAAATACACTTGATTCCTCAAACCATGATCAGAACTGGCTTGTGGTCTGCCCTAACATGTTCACTCAGTTCACAAGTCCACCTGTTTCCTAATAGTTAAACTGATCTGTCAGGTATAAGAACAAGAACAGAACCTCTCATCGTTGCTAAGGCAGATCCTGCAGAATGGGCTCCACAACTCAGAATAGACCTTTTTAAAAAAAAAAAATTGCTGGAGTATCCAATTTGTCATTTTGTCTCTATTGAGTTGTAAGTACGTTATATAGGCAAAAGTCACATTGGTGTATAAATAAATGACAAATGCTGCAAGACTAGAAATGGAAAATCAGAAATAATTGTGCTGTTATGTCACAGCAAAGTCTATCTAAGCAGCACTTTTGGGGAAATGGCTCAAGACAAAAAATATCAGTTCTGCTTGCAAAATATTGTTTCACCAAAACAGGAAAACAAAATATAGTAAAAGATCACAAATTGAAATCTCACCTACCTGTCAGCTCGATGTGTGAAAAGATACACTCCCAAATTTGAAATATCTCTCATATGTATGAGCAATAAGCAATCATCCTACATATCCACTCACATTATAACCATGAAAGTGGATGTGTTTACCACCACATAAAACAACCATCTAGCTAGCATAAAGCTTTTCTGATGTTTCATATAGAAGAGTTATCATTTGTTAAAGAGTTGTCAGAAGATGTCAGCTTGAAATTCTAAAAGTACAGTGCCAGACATTTATCTCACTATGACGTATTATTCACCCAACAGTTTTCAAGACACAGTTTCTATGATTTTTCTAACCTCCCTGATTTGTTCTTTGTTTTAAAATTTAAAGAAGAGCAGAAACAACGACAAAAGAGGGTGGTGGAACCCAACATCTTTTCACAAGAAACAACACACAAAAACCCAGAATATGCCAAGGGTCAAGTAACTCCAAATACTTTGTGCAATTCAGAGACAAATAGAAAAACTGCAAAGGATAGTATAATGAAAGCGACATACACACACACACACACACAGAGAGAGAGAGAATTGGCTAGAAGCCAGAAATGATAAAAGCCATTGAATGAAATGCTAATGCCCAGAAAACAATATTAGATTCCAATTTAAATGGTAAACATAGGAGAAACAATACTCCTTTTTTAGAAATTTGACAGAAAACATATTCTAGACATTCATTAGCCATGGACTTCAAATCTCCAGAAAATTAGATCCCTAGATGTAATTCTGTTTGCCTATATTCAAGTACACAAAGAAGTCTAAGTCTTGAAACTGTGAAATTTGACTCAGTACTTAAAACAATACTGTTTAAACTTCCCAAGAATAACCACGTTACAAAATTCAAAGTGTCAAGAAGAATTCAGGGTTACGGGATCAATGTAAGCTTTTCCAATGTACCAATACAATATATTGTGTGAGGTGCATCTGACTGGATAATACCACAGGCTGTTGAAAGTAAAAGCCACGTGCGCTGATGCTTGATTGCATTCCCAGAGGTAAGGGTACAATGTTTCTACATTCAATACCAAAAAGCCACTTTATTCAGCTTTCATAGGAGACCTGAATCAGTAATGCCAAATGGGCTGAAGCAGCTTTGCATGGGCTGCATTTGGAGGGGGGGGGGGTTACAGGATCATTGGGACATTTGTAGACAATCTGAAGCAGGATGCCATCCAACTAAACAAAGACTATTCAGCTATGCCCTTTACTTCCCATTATCCCATCACCCAATGGCCTCTTTTGCTTAAACCCTTGAAAGACACTGCTTATCAGACTGGTTTCCTCAAGCTGCTCTGTATGAAACTGGGTACAGCAGAAGGACAAGTCAATATGGATTGTCTGTGGAATAATTTATGAAATCACTGGCACTACTGTATTTGCAACAGTCATGCCCTTGGATATTATGCAGATCTCAACATCTTTTCTTGAGGTAGCACTTCTGAACCAGGAAAATCGTATTTTCTCCACAACCGGGAAACTCCCCCCCGCCTTTTCGGACCAGCTATCAGATTGCATTTGTGAATGCAATGTGGAATGTGACTGTGCAAGTGTCACAACTATCTCTATGTTAAAGCAAACGACACTGCTAATTATTGGTGAATGGCTTGCCTCTCCATCCCTAACGCTGTTTTTCTTTTCTTCTCCTTTTTATGACAGCTAGATTTTATTATTGCTTTACACAGCTTTACAGAGGGCTGCAAACATCCACACTATACCACTCCTGCATGAGAATATCACCCTCTCTCCCACCTGAAAGGCTGAAGCACTTAACAGACTTTTTAAAAATAAGCGCTGTAGGGTTGCTATCCCCCCTCTTAGGTGATATACTGCATATCCCCTCTGCTACAAAAATAAATTTCAAAACTCAGCAAACTAGGGTTCCACTATCTCTTTCGACAAAGCTACTCATACAATCCATTCTGAAGCGGACAGCTCTGAGCAGATTCAGATGTCACACTCATGTCAACCGCAGAGAGTAACCACTGGGTTAGATGGGCGGTGTAAAAACTGAATAAATAAATAAGATAAAATATAAGCCAGAATTAATGGGAATTCGGTTATGATCATACATGAGGCAGTGCATTACTTATTCCCTGTTCACTCTTGCTGCTGACCACAGATCTTCCACCTGTGGTTTGCTTACCATGATGCCTGAAGCTTTGTTGGGGAGAGAAAGAAGCCAAAATGTTTAATTCAGAAGTCAAGATAAGCAAATCATGGACAAAAGGTCTGTGGTTTGTTTCGTTATAACAAGCACAATGTGTGTAAATAAGAGGCCAGGACTCCCCAGCGATGCAGTCTGAAACATCACGAAAACCCAGTCACTGAATCAGCGCACATGTGCATAGCATTTATGTATCATGGACTCAATTACGCATAGAGTCTCTTTCAGCTTTGCAGTTCTAAGATCACTAAGATCATCTCAAATATTACTGCCACTGTCTTTTCATAATGTTTTGTTACAAAACACAGGTAACACACCCACACATGCTTTCTGCTCGAAGCACAGTAACATTCCTTGCACATTCCAACCATATCCTTGCCTCTCATCTCGTGAGACTGCACAAAGCTTTGGAGGCCAAACTATCTTTCTTTACAGCTCTTTCTTTACTGGTTTATGTTTACAATAAAGTAGCAAAGCAAATAATAAAACAAACAAACACACAACACAAAGAGAAAAACCACTCTCCATTTACTGACAACATGCTTCCAACAAACGACATCTCTTTCCCCTTGCCCCTTGACTTTCCAGCAGAGGCACATTTCACTGTATGCTTAATATCTGGTCGAACGGCAACATCCAGAAAAGCTTCTTTTCTGCACTACTTTCAGAGCTAAGCAGATGTGCTAAGCACTCACTTAGTGAGATTCTTAACAAGACATATTCTGAATGAATATACCTTACGCAGAAAAGTTTTCATATTTTATGTCACTTTTTTAAATCAAACCACAATATTACCTTGGAGACAGCCCTCCATGGGAACAGTTGGTAGGTGAAGTTAAGGGGCTGGTCCTGCTGCTAGGATGACGTGAAGGGGTGCGGCCAACGGTATTGCTAGGGGAACCCTAATATGCAAGCAAGAAGAGGAGGACATGATGTGTTACAGGAAAAAGCAGCAGCAAAGGATGACACAATTTGTACCAATTTATATATCACATGATTCAACCAGTTTCTCTTAGGAACTCTTGCACTGTGTGGAGCACAAGCATTCTCCTGACCATGAGCTAGCTACATATCATTGACTTCAAAACTGATCCATCTTTATAGGAAAAATGGGCAATATCTGTCTTGTGTTCGAATGAACCAGAAACAAAAAAAGCATATAAAAAAGTTTCAAACTACTTTCAAAATTCAATAGCAAGGAACAAAAATGAGGACCAGCTTCCAAACCAATCCAAAATTGCCCATCACCAAATCAACCTCACTCTCAGGCTCCTTGGTTCATCACTGTCGTCATCATCTTAGCATTTGCAAGCTAGACGCAATATGCTCCCATTCCTCCTGGGATGGGTTTAAAAGGGAAAGAGGATATTTAATAGTAGATGGTGAAGGTGACACAAACCTTGCACTCCTTTGGATTGGATTTCAAGCTGCATTAGAGAAGACTGTGGCTCCTAACACTCACCCTTTGTTGATGAGTTCCTAAAATTCCTGTCTGTACCTATGAGCACTACAACAGTGAAATCTGGTTGTCAAAAAGTACAATTTTTATATTGTAAAGCTAGGAGTGCATATTTTAAAGCAGAGGTCCCCAACCCCCGGTCCACAGCCCGGTGCCGGTCTGGGGCCTGAGCCAGGCCGGGCCACAGAGACAGACCTCCCTGCACTCACTACTGCCATGTACAGCCCCTTTGAGCATGTGGGCGCACACCTGCACCCACGCGAGCACTCTCCCACCCCTTTCTGCATGTGCACAAGTGCCTCCTGAACACACGCCGGCCTTTGTGCATGCACACAAGCTCCCTCTTGCTCCTTTGTGCCTGCACATGAGCAAGTGCACCTGCACAAGCCCCTCCCACTCCTTTGCACATGCGCCTGAGCGCGTGCCCACTCTTTTGCGCATGCAAGGGGTGCCCTGACTTCTGCAACCAGTCCGCGGTGTTAAAAAGGTTGGGGACCACTGTTTTAGAGGACATGTAACTTTGCACATATCAGTAGTTAACATGGAAAGTAATGCCTACCTATTTGAGTTGGGTTTTTTTAAAGGAAAAACCTGAGTTAAGTCTTACCACGCTAGTGTTACTGGAGTTCTTGAGGTGGTTGTGCAGTAGCCTGGTAGCACCGTCCTGGAATGTTTTGGGCAAGGCACCAAGTAACATCGTAAACTCAGGAGTGTTCAGTTCAAACAGAGAAATCAGGACTATTTGTGCTGCCTGGGAAGGAAAAGAAATCATTTAGCATCACATCATTAAAAAAAATCAGTTATGTCCTTTAGGGGAAGATCTTACTAATAAGAAATCAAGCTGTAATTTAGATCTATCAATAAAATTTTGCTAAAGGGAACTCAGCTGTGAGCTGGATCTATAACAGTATCACACACTCCAAATATATAACAGCTGAAGTACTGCTGAGATCAAATGACTGATGTATCACAAATCTCTCAGGCAAAGATACATAAAGATCTTTGCAAGTCTATTGAAATGCTTTTTGTTTCAGCTATAGTTTCACGGCTTAAAAACAAAACTGCCTTGCTGGATTACATCAACAATCCATCAAATTAATCTATCTCCCACACTGACCAATGCAATTAAAGAGAAGGAAATATGTACCAGAAACATAATCAAAGAGTCTTATCAAAAGAATGTGTACCACACAACTTTGTAAGAAAGAGCAGAAATCTCATAGCATAAATCTCATAGAAATGTCATAGCAGAAATCTGTGTAAAATATGTTAGGCTTCTTCAAAATATTCAAAACTGTATACTTCAAAAATTCAAGCTGAACTCTAGATCTGCATTCTGTGGTTCATACTCCAATATGACTACATTTTGCCAAGTATTTTATCTGTATAGCTCAAAATCACTTAATTAAAACACAGACCTATGTTTTTATATGTAACATATTCATATGTAGTGTAATCTAAGAATAATTATTGAGAGGAGAGTCCACTGATCTAATTGGCACGTATTACACAGTAATCATATATTGGATTACAGCCATCAACTCTTCTATTTTTTATGCTTACTAAGATCACATTTTGATTACTATAATCTTTCCATTTGTAACTTTACTTCCAACTGGGCAACATCTGCTCCTTAAACCCTCATATACTCTGTAAACATGGACAAGGTGTTAGCTTTGTAAGCAGCAATAACGTCGTTGGAAGAAAAAGTAATTCATAGTCAACTTCAACATCCAATTGCCATCGCTTTCCTTGTTTACATAAAGCATGAAATCAGTTCCAGGGCTGGCTTATCTGGCTGTGGAAAGGTATGCTAAAATACAGAATCATGCAACAATGCTTCTTTCAACTTAACACCATAATTGCTCATCAAAAGGAAAATACTAGACCTGAAAGAGAACATTATTTCTGGAAAACAAAATTCTAGCTGCCTCTATTTCTCTTTTATATTCTTCTACATTCTTCTCCAGACAACTATAGAAAATTTGTCACAGGAACATTTTCTGAACTGAAAATATTATTACAAACTGAAGGTCCAAGGAAAGACCAAGCAAGAGCAGGGATTCATGCCAAACTATACACGTACATACTCTGAAAAATCATGCACCACCACTGCTGTAACTTAGTTTTATTAAGAAAACCTACATGCAAGTCAGTAGTACAAACAGGCAAAAAGAAAAGAGCAAAAGAGCTGAAGGACCCAGCTCCATTTCTCAAAGCTTCCAATCCTTCTATTCCAGAATCAGGACATTTGGGCTTTGGTGCAACTACCGTTCCTTGAGCTTGCTTCTTCAACTGTTATGTCCCTGTGGCTTTGGGACATAACATACTTTTATTTGTACACAGAAACCATCCATTGTCATTCCTCTAAATTCAAAATTCCCCCAGGCAAAAGTACATGTCCTTCATCAAATGCCGGAGAAGATGGGTGTGAGTACTTTGACACAATCTGAGGTGCCTCTTTGTATAGACAAACATCCTTTGCCTCCACCTCCTGTTAACAGGGAGGAATTATGTTGGGCTAATACCCAAAGAGCATTGCATATCGCACACAGAGGGAGAAGGAACCACACCTCAGCTCTGCACTGGGGGAAGCTTTCAGCTATTTCTAACCTTTTGACCTGAACTCATCAGGCTTCGCGGCCATTTGAAGAGTCTCTTTTTAAAACAATAATTATTTAAGACAATAATTTAATTCAAACTCTAGAGTGAATGGAAACATACATTCAATTATTACATACACACACACACACAAAATCACCACTGCATTTTCTTCAAGCCCCCAGTCCAATTCTCTCCAGAGATCCAAACTAAATTAGAATTCTATACTGCAAACACAATATGGAATCTTATGATTAGTGCACACTACTTTTAGTCTACCTGTTTACACTTCTCTTCCAAGTTTCCTTCACCAGGACCTGATGAGGCTGCTGTCGGTCTAGCTGGCATATCCTCACCTACCCAACTATGCATAGTCTGAGTTCAACAAATAGGAAAGGGAACATGATTTAGCAGAAGCAAGCAGACAATTTTCAGTGACCAATACAGGAAAGCAATGACTGACATATTTTAGTTTCTTCCCAGTGCTGTGTTTTCAAAGCTGGTGGTTATGTCTCCAGTTTGGGGACAAAGTCACAACAATTAAATAAACAGGTCTTGGAACTTTAATTTTGAATGGGAACTTAGCTATTATTTTAGTATGATGTAACTTCAACCAAATTCTTCTGTTATTTGTGCCTCATTCAGCAGCCTTCCAAGTATTCTCAGATGCTATTTTTCCCCCCACTGCTGAACATCAGTCTTCTTTTTCTTCCTACTGGAAAAATAAGGATTTTTGCAAATTTTGCTGAATCTCTCAGCATTTTGCCCAGGAATCTCTTCCTGTTCTGTCTCCAAAGTAAGCAGACTTTGAAGACTTAACAGTCTATTAGGCAAGAGCTAAGTTAATGGACAACAATGCAACACATGTCTAGTGCACAGCAGATCGAGAGTTTTCAGTGGGCAAATGGACATTGTACTGCAGCATAAAGCAGCAAAGCAACAGCAAATCAACCCGTGAGCACTGACTGGACAGGCTTTCATAATGGTGCCAACAGACTGGCTCCTGACTCCACACTTCCAATCATACATTAATTTCCAAAGGATATTTGCATGTTTCTGCAGGTCTACCTAGGACTCCCATTTTGCAAGTGCCTGCTAGAGATCTAGTATGGTACATCAGATACAGTATCAGACTAGGATTCAGGAGACTTGATTCAAAACCCTGGTTGGTTATGGAAACTTATTAGGGGATGGCAATGATAAACCACACCATAAAAACCCCATTCGGATCACAATAAGTTTAAAGTGACCTGATATCACATAACATAGCGTTGAGATAATAATTTCTTAGTATTAGAAGTCAAATATAGTTTTACCAACCCTAGTTTTGCCTAGTACATTATAGTTCCACTCAATGTCTTCTCAACCAATAGCAACCACAACAGCCTATTGCTACCAGTTACGTAAGCTGTTAGCTTACACTACACCCTTCTTTGGGCAGCCTGTAGACATAGGGTGTGTCATTATAGAGTGAGGTGCCATCTCCACCTCAGTCCAAGCTGGCATGGTTACTACTATTATCAATTTCAGTATATGATGCTTTGAGTTCTACTACCATTAAGTCATGCTACGTTTTCCTGTACACCAGTAATACATGTTTATTGTAGTAATTTTCGAAACCAGAACAAACGTCCACCCCCTTGTTCATTGCAGCTGTTCTTTCCTACATGTAAGCTATTCTATCTAAACATGCTGACCAGAACTGTTCATTCTAAATCCTGATGCACAATGGTATGATAGAAGGACATTATGGTAGTTTTACGATCAATTATTTCCTAATTGCCAACTCAAGCTCAGTACAGAGATCGTAGCAGCATTAATCAGGATTGTTCTTGTACCCAAACTATAGCCAGAATTATCTTAAGAAAAAATATCCACACCATGCAACGATTTTTCCCTCCAGTGGGCTGTCCTTTGTGTGACTAGTCATGAACCTGATTTCCCAACTAGTGTGTGATCAGTTGCAGAAAGAAGAGGTTGCTGGAGGAGGGGAAGCACTTGTGCAATTGCTCTTGTGCTCTGTGCTATTCAACAGAATTCTGGACAATGAAGTACATTTATAAATCATGGTTACAAGACAAACCAAATTAATATTCCTGCTGGCTAGTGCCAAGGCAGGCACCAGTATTCTGCATGACTTATGTAAATAAGAAAAATGGGGGAAAATGCAAAAGAGAGAAGATGGAATGTGGACAAACTCTGTGAGCCCAAGACCCAGTCACCTAAATGAGAAAAACGAGGAAGTTTACAGTTTCAGTGGAATGCTAAATTTGCTGTGGTCCTTACAGTAACTTAAGTTGACAGGTCCAACTGAACTTCCTATAGTGACCTTAAGATTCTATCCCCGTCAAGTGTCAGACAATTCCATGTATGCATGAACCCTTTTGTGCCAGTACGCATGATACTGCTCTTATTCACAATAAATCTTATAAATCATTTGTTTGCTTAGTTGCCCAGTTTAAATAGATCTGTTTGGAATTCTTCATTATCTGTTGGAGATTTAACTTTAGTGTTGTCAACAAAATTTGACTACCAGAAACTATCCCTCCCTGACTTCCAATCATTTACGAATTACACAGTACTGTTCCCAATAAGGACATGGGCCCCCTCCCCCCCCATTATTATTTATTTATTTTATTTATTTAATTTATATGCCGCCTACACTACCCAAAGGTCTCTGGGCGGCTTACAGCATCCAAAATACAACAAAGATATGCAACAATTAAAATACAATTAAAATATATATAAAATTGCCATCGGACCCACAGCTAATATTATTTCAGTTAAAAGCCTTCTGGAACAGGAAGCTTTTGACCTGGCGCCGAAATGTCATCAGTGTCGGCGCCAGACGAATCTCAGTCGGGAGGGCATTCCATAGTCTGGGGGCAGCTGCCGAAAAGGCCCTTTGTCTACAAGCCGTCCCTCTTACCTCCTTGAGTCCTATTCCATTGTGAAAATGATGCTACTATATAGTTATATATTTGGTTTCCTCCCGAACTGGCACGCTTATATCAATTTCCGTACTCTTGTTACGTGCCCTTCTCCTCCCTACTACTCATTTGCTGAATTCTTCCATAATGACTCTCTGACTCTTGCCAAACTGATACTCCTCTTGGCTTGTATGTAGCAATGATGGCACCTAATGGTAGAACTAGGAACTCCCTGGACTTTATGCTGCATTTCACTAGGCCAAACATATACGCACACTCTCCAGAACCTGCTCTGCTGGATACATCTTGTCACTTAACCCAGTTGGTACGGGTCTCTAGAATGATAGAATGTCCTATGGAATGTCCTCAGATCTGGCCCAAAAATACCAAAGGGGGGGAGAAAGCACAGAACACCTTTTTTTCCAAAGATGAAATAAAAATAATACTGTGATAATACATTAAAGAGAATAGTCAGCTTCTCAGAAACAATTTCAAACTTTCTCTTATGTAGTTATATGACATCATCTGGTAATGTTGTCTTTTGGGTGGCCCACTGTCAGGAGCAACGAGCTAAAGCGGGAAGAAGATTTTCAGCTTTAGTGTCCTATCTCTAGAATGCTCCACCAAGGAAAGCTTACCTGGTGCCTCCTGTTACTTTTGAGGGACCCGACAAAGATTTTTCCTAAGCATTTAAGTCCATTTATGAAGATGCTTTCCTGCTGTTGCTACTGCACTGGTGCTTTTTGTTTCGTAATTACTACAGTATTAAAATTTGATATGTTGAACAAATGTTTCAAACTAACCTCTCAAAATCTCCAATAGTGAGAAAAACATGGTGCTAAGTTCTGCTCTGTCTAGACAGATGACCTGAAATCTTATCAGATAGGAATTCAGGTCTTGTGCATGGTGATAGTGGAACCATTTCTCCAATTAATACTGTTTTCAGCATAAGGTATAATTTGAATATCTGTCGGGCGGCAAAGCCCAAAAACCTTGTGCTCTTCTTGTGGCCCAAGTATTTATGCTCAAGAGGTTTAACTATTTATCCGACAAATACAGATTGACAACTGTTTTAAAAACTATGAGGATGTGTCAGTGTTTCCTTCTCTCAGCCACAACATCCACCAAGTAGAGTTACACTTTACTGTTCTCACAGGCAGAATTTGGGGGAGGCAATTTCCACCTCCTCTTGCAGCCCTCAGCACTATTGCAGATCACCTCCCAACCTGAAGCAGATTGGGAGAAGCACAGGTGACAAGTAAATCAATGAGATTTCCTTCTTCTCCATTTCATCTACAATACAATTTCAATGGATCACTAGCCTTCCACGGATGTAAGAGAGACAAATTATGGACCCAACCCAATATATTTATTTGGCTATCCAATTTTACAATGATTACGATGATGGTTTAAAATAAACTTACAGGACTCCAACAGCTACTTCCTCTTGTTGCTTTAACTCACCTTTCTCACATCTGAGCTCTTTGGTTCTGTTGTCCAAGTAATAATCCTAGAAACTGCAAGTTTTGCCTCACTGGAGTTTACAAAATCTGTGGGGTCCATTTGTCTGGCCAAGGACTCAATATATTTCAGGATTGCCACTTTTACCTAAAGTTAAGTGGAACGGTACATTAAATAAGAAACAAGACCATAAACTTATTCTTATATTCAATAACTGATAAATCACTGATTGTAACAGAACAAAACACCTCAATCTAGCTAGCTAGATACTACCAGCCCTCAAAATATAACCATTGGAAAAATACCATATTCTCCAGTAAAATATTATCCTTCATTTTGCTCTTAAGACTTCCGAATCATCTCTGAATAAAACTACAAAGCCTATACTCACCTTAAGGTTTGGTGTTTGGGTTTGATCAACAATAAACCGCATCAAAATATTAAACTGCTGGTCAAAGGGAAAAGAATCCCTAAAGTGGAAGAAATGACACATACAAAAAAGTCATGACAATTAGTCAGTCTCCAACTAGCAGAAAGATTTCTGCACAACATGAAACAGATTCAATATTAGGTCAATAGCCAATGTTCCTGAGAGGAGGGACTCAGACATTCTCCTCATAATACATCTGCAAAAGGAAAAAGAGCTATGCACAGTAATGTCTAAGGAACATCTTCTACCTTATGGTTGAAACCCTGCTGGTGTTTGCATAAGGCTTCTGTAACTTGCCTCAGCTAATTGCAACTAATTGAGGTGCTGAAGTGCATCTCAGCTGCACAATGGAGTGTGTGACTCGTCACATGACTAGGTACATGAGCAATATGCATCCCAGCATCTCATTAGGTAGCTGCAATTAGCTGTGGCATGTTACACAAGCCTTATGCAAATACCACTGGGATTCTGACCTATCTAATCTGAGTAGAGACCTTAGCTACTGACTGCCAACAAAACTGTCAGCACTGATAGGCCAGAATCAATTGATGCAAGTTACATCATGCAACTCCGATGATGTCATCAGTCATGGTGTAACTCATGCCAACACCATCTGCAAAGACCGAGACTGGTAGCAGTGGGTTTCCAGCTTTAAATCATTCCCTATCCCATTCCATTGCTCCTGAATGCTTTCTAGGATGAAGAGGATCCCTAGGTATCCCCAGAATGTGGTGGGGTGGGGATAAGAAGTTTTTCATTTCCTCCAAACAGCCATGGCATGGCTGCAGTTGATAACTTAATTCGAGTTGCATGGTGTAATTTGCACAACAAGATTCTGGCCACTAAATCATCTGAGATATTGTTTTATTTGTGAATAGCCAGGAAAATCAAGACACTACTCTATAGATATACTGCACTTTAAATCTCAAAAAGATGAAGTCAGGACTGGCTCAAGTATTAAGAGAAAGCAGTCCCACTTTAGCTGGTGCAACTGTGAGGAGGCTAAAAGCATTTGCTTCCCACCCTACTGAAACAGACTAGTATGAAAAGCAACAAATCTGTTTTGCCTTCTTCCAATAAACTGTATTTTGAAATAATTACAGTTTAAGCTAGTTCAGACTGGATAACCATGTGTGATTATTTCAATCACAAGGCTTTTCCTCCTGTCACCTCTTTGTGACTCTTTTTAGGAAGCAGTCATGTTTAAGGATCAAGCAGACTTACTCCTGAAATGCTACATTGCCGTTTACTATGTCCCTTCCCAGTCTGATGCTCTCCAGATATGGAGGACAACAATTCCAACCACCACTCCCAGCAAATATGTTCACTCTAGTGAACAGAAAAACATAGTCCAACTGATGTGGAGGCTATGGGTTTGAAGAAGACACGTTTTGTGCCAACTTGCCTTCCTCTTTCCAGGAAGAATTCACCACACATGTAGGTTTGGAAGTTACATTACCTTGTTACATCCAGAGCTTTCTGCACTTTTGCTTGCACTGATCCAAGCAAGTCAGCCCCCATCTTCTTGAGTAACTGTGTCAGGAGCACAAAGAGCCAGTCTTGCAAATCATCCTTGTGAATAATGATGAAGTCTACCAGAGTTTCAAGAAACATACTGAAAACCTAGAAGTGACAGAGAGATTAAAGAGACTGTGATTTGAACAGTACAACAATCATAAGAAAAATGTACTTTAGAGAAGGGATGTCTTTAACATCTATGTTAGCACTGTAAAACTTATAGGGTATGCCACATTAAGGAGATAAAAGAGTGAGATTTAGAGGAGGGGTGATGAGGAAGGAGAATACACTTACTCTCTGTTGTGAATTCCACCGCAAAACAGGCCATGCAACAAAACAAACCATTGATTAGTACATAGATATAGAGAATCAAAGCAAACTGCTATAGGGCAGTTTCCCCTTGGACAGAGATAAAATACACATTGATAGGAAGTTTAATGAACTGTTTATGACAGATTGTCAAAAGGGTAGCATTCTTTGCTTTAGAACTAGATACAAAATAAAATCTTTCGAAATAACCCATTTTATTGCATTTTAAGGAATATTCTGCTCCAGATAATCCTCCATGTCTAATGTTCACTCATGGAACAACAAGTTCCCAAATAATTATCACAAATAGAGACTATGCCACTACTATTTAGAATTACACTCAGTTTTTCTGCTGTTCACTATAACTGAGTAACTTATTTAGACTCTAGCTTCATGCTTGTGATCAAGTATGTGCTAATTTTAGTTTTTTAGTTTTTATGGGGCCACAGGAACTCTCAGCTACTCCTCCTTCACCCACAGGATAATACACCCAAAACCAAATATGTCCCAAAATGCAATGAAGTCAAGAAGTGTTGAGAGGATGGAGAGTTTGATAATGGGCTTCTACTGTATTATCAAATGCTTACAAATGTATTTCATTTGCAACATATAGAATACATCTTAAATATATACTTAATTTTTTACCTTGCTGTGGGGATCCGCAAACATACGTGTGAAGATCTCACACAGCCTTTTCAACTCAACTCGGCTGAAACAGAACACAAGAGAAGAAAATTATTTAGAGCTGACATTGTATATTAATGATAAGAAAGCAAATGCTTGTTATTTATGGCTTAGCCTCAAGACTGGCAGTACTATCAAATACTGTATAGTTCTTAAAATGTCGTATCTCTTATCACAGGCAAAAGCTCCACCGTTTTTTTCAGAATGGACTGAGATAAGGAGGCTCCTCTCCTAAAAAGGACAACAAAAATATCCTTTGTAAGAGTGTAGAGAATGCATATCTGCTTTGACACTTTTACTGCATCATGTAGCTTATTGTTTCCCCATTACCTATTTTTACATATTGTAATCTTGCTGAGCAGGTTTTGAGATTCAGCCTGCAAAGGTCTGCAGTATCTGAGCAAGCTCTTTGCAGAGGTGCTACAAGAATAAGGAAAGGAAAGGAAGGGAGAATCTTTCCCAAACCACGGAGAGAGGGGTGGGTGGGTGAGGTAGGGGTGGGTGTAGATTGGGGAGCTACAAATATGTAGAAAAAATACTCTCAGATCAGGGGTGACAAAAAATAATCTCATTAGACTGGCTTAGAGCTTATTGTTGTTTAATTGTTAAGTCGTGTCTGATTCTTCATGACCCAATAGACCAGAGCACGCCAGGCCCTCCTGTTTTCCACTCCCTCCCAGAGCTAGGAAGCGCTCAAATCCTAGCTGGAACTGTGTAAGGGAACTACCGAATGCCAGAAACTTGGCATTCAGGAGAGCAACATAGGCTAGCAGGATTCCCTGACTAAATCCTGTATTCTAGAGGGCTAAGACAGTGATTCCCACTCAGAACATGAAGTAATCACAAAGAGGTTTGGCAGGAATCAACAGCACCAGGTTACAGGCAAAGCAGAAAAATATAGAAAGAAAATTCATTTCAGAACATTCCCTCAGAACAGAACGGGGCAAAATGCGGCCCTCCAGATGTTGCTGAACTGCAAATTCCAACGCTCCTCGCTATTGGCTGTGTGGGCTAGGATTGCTGGGAGCTGCAGTTCAGCAACATCTGGAGGGCCACATTTTGCCCAGGTCTGCCTCAGAACAACTAACATGACTACTGTATGTCTTCTATATGACTTTTCTCCAGACTGACTAATGATCTGCCCCCTTGTTAATCATGCTCCTGTCCTGCCCTGATCTTAATCTTTGCCCACTTGGCTAATCCTATCTGATGGCCCAGAGAAAATGCACAGGAAGAAGATGAGAAGACTCTGTTTACAAAGATGCAGACCACTCTAGGGTGTTTTCTCTTTCAGATCTTCAGATAATCCTTTTATCATAAAAACAATAGAGGGCTTTATTTGGCTGGGGTACTGAGATTCTCTCATTTCCTCTTGGAGGCTTGGCTCACCTTGAAACCTAGCCTATATCTGACAAGTTTCCCCGTCAAAACAGTCTGTGACATGCCCATACATGTCTTAGCAAGAGCTGAGCCTCTGCAGGGATGTTGTACAAACATGGCCAGTTGGGTAGCACTAATTTCTTCCAAATCCCCAAAACATATATCAGGAAAGCATTTGCCTGCTGCAAATAGCTTTAAGGTAAAGAAGATGGTTGGACAGTGTCATCGAAGCTACCAACATGAAGTTGACCAAATTCCGGGAGGCAGTGGAAGACAGGAGGGCCTGGCGTGCTCTGGTCCATGGGGTCATGAAGAGTTGGACATGACTTAATGACTAAACAACAAAACAAGTCATTCTCCTGGATCTCTTAAATCTGCATTTAGATGGGGAGCCAAGCATCCACCCTAACACTATGTACTGCCAACATTCTGCATTGTTAACTTCAACATTCCCAGCCCTCTTCCTTCTGAATATATTCATAATGTCATATACCATAAAAACAAAGCTCCACCCAATTGTAGAAAAATTTTAGCTGTATCAAACTTTGACGTTTCTTTATTCATCCAACCACAGTACACCAAAATGCTTTGAAATACGATCTGATATCTCAAGACATTTTACAAAACCAAATTGGCCCAATTTAATGTAATATTCCGCTAGAGAGTCATATTCCTGAGAATAATGTGATGCTCCAATAGAGTGACAGGACGGAAAGAATCCATTTCTTTGAGACATCTTGCTTGTGAATTAAATCTATTCAGGCTAAATGGTTGAACTTAGGGCAGGCACAGGATAACAAAATTTTAATCACAGTAAGGAATTTGTTAAATAAATGTCTCCTCCCTTCTACAGATTTTTTTCAACAGGAAATCCAGAAACATGCTGACTAATATTCTTCATGTCATATGATCTGAACATGAAATGCAATGACAAAATACTGATACTGAATGTTTACTTCTGTCATCTATAATGATCAGTATTTCTTCAAATACATTTCCTAACATATTGCATTTCGTGTCTAAATCTGCTTAAGTCTGTAGTGGGGAATCAGCTTTTCACCTGCATTTTCTGGTTGATTGACTGACTGATTGACTGATTCATACATACAGACATTCCCTGCCTTTCTCCTTAAAAAGGACCCAAGATAACTTACTAAAAGACACAATCTAAAGCTATGTTATGCATTCCTATGGCCAGTCATAGTAATATTTTATCAATTTCATGGCTATATTTTGCATCCTTGTATTGAAAAAATAATTTTAATCAATTGTAATTAATACTTTTTAAAAAAAAGAATGTGGCTCCAAGCTACTGAGCATCTTCTAAGAAAAAGCAGACCTGACTTCCCATGCAAGTACCTTGTCCATGCATCCAATAATAGCACTGTTCAGTTCTTCAGAGAAAGGGCATGTGGGTTGCCCCTTTAATCCTGAATTAAAACTAAGGCATCCCGTAAGTATATTTAAACCCTCACCTCAGTGTCCTTTGGCTCTTCAGTAGGTTCTGCAAACCTATTAGTCCTTCCTTCCTTTCAGACCAGTTGGAACTCGCACAGTGGTTCAAAACTTCAGCCACATCCTCTGTCTGGCGCAAGTAGTGGGGGATGCCTCCATTGCGGGAACCGTAGGAGCGCTCCGAGCAAGCACTTGATGCGTCACTGTTGGCATCATCATCCGAATACATCCCATATGGCTCGTATCGTCTTCTCACTGGCTTTTTCTGGTAGAGGTGGGTAGGAAATAAAGCTTGGAGTTAGCAGGCTTTGCAAGCTTAGCAAAATATCTAAATAACTATGGCACAGAAGCATCACAATTAAACCGCATCAGGATTCAGTCAGGGAAGAGTGCCACAAACACTGGGCTAGGAGGGGCAAAACCAATGAGCCAGGGAAACAGACAGGATCTGATGAAAGAACAGTCTGCTTTCACTGGAAACAACTTATTAAAGCATGAGTATGCAAATAAATTAATTCAGCTAGGCTGAATAAATTCTGGTGTGATTACATCACATCTGACGCAAATTAATCTAGGTATACTCTGGGGAAAGAAGAGCACACTCTCTGTACTGTTCCTATTAGTGCCACACACCAGACTCAGTGAAGCTCAAATCCCAGCAACAGGATACAATACTTGCAGCAGTGGCAACCTTGCAAAGATATATAGAGTCACTCCACAAACACTCTACAATAGATATCCTGTTGCACTTGCACAGAATGGAAGCATGCAGTGCTATCATTTAGTAACTGTGGATATCAGCTGCACATAGTCAAGCTGAATGATTGTGCTATATAAGATCAAAGATCTATTTTATTTTACATTCTGCAGGCCTCTGAGCATGTTGCCAAATTGCTCTAGGACACAATCTAGTATCTGCCACTCTCTAGTTCCTGTTTTTCATAGTCATCAGCAGTGAACAGGTGAGCTTAGAAATGGTTCCTGTAAGATGGACTTCAAGAGATGAGAGCATAGGACTTAAATATATTTAGTACAGAACACTTTAAATCTCTTGTATGGCTAAAACTTTGATCATATGCGACTAACCATCTAAACCATCCAAGCCCAATTTCGGTGTCTTTCCTATGATTCATTCCATCTGATTCACATCATTTACTAACATTCAATGAAACAAACACATCTCAAAACTATCCCATAAACGCATCTCAAAACTACCCCATTTGCATAGTTCTCTGCAGGTTTTTAGTTTTCTCACTTAAATATTTTGATTTTTAGAGGTCCCAGATACATCTGTCATTAAGTGAACAATGCAGGATTATGCAGCTTGATAAAACTTCAGATTTGGGCTTTAACACATCACAAAAATTTACAGCACCATATGAATTTCAAAACAGGGAAAGCAAAACTTGGAACGTAAACCAAAAAGAAAAAGAAAAGTCAAAACAGCAATAGTACCTTGCTCCTGGAGTCTCCTAAGAGCTGTATGCAGGAAAATATTGAAGGGTGGGAGAAAGCATAGAGAATTATGTCAGAAGCTTATGCAGGGATTGTTCTTGCAACAAAAATGTACAAGCAAATGCATCTTAGCAAATTAAAAATTCAAACTCAGCCAATACCTCATTAAGCAACAAAAAATTAAAATGGGATCAGAGTACAGCATCAAACTGATTGATCTTCTGCTCTCGATCTTCTAATATATACCAAGACCTCTTTGTAGTTTATATGCCTAGAAATGTACCTTTTTCATTCTATTTTCACTAAAACCAACTAACACCTATATAAAAGCCCCAGGAAAGAAAGTCCTGATTTGGATTATAATGTCTAAACTGCTGTTCTCCTCAAGGTGGCATTCTAAGAGCACAGAATTCAAGAATGGCAGCATAAAACATGCTCTTTAGTCTTATGTAGCTAAACTCCTGTTAAATGAGAAGCATCTTTGTCCTGACGTTGATCAAAAATACAACAATATCCAAGATCTTTTTACAAAAAACTGGGTCCTCCTTTATCCCTTGTCCAAAAACTCTTCACTCCAAAGTTACTCAGGTTTCCTTGTGACCTTCAGAGCGAGAGGTCTTTTTCTGTACACTGATTCTGCCTTGTTCTCCTGGAACAACAATGAATCCTTGGACAACGTTCAGGTATCATCTTTCACTGGCTTAAAAACTGACATATGCCAGAAAATGGAACTATAAAGCCAAAGGGCTTTGTTCAAAACCTTGTTTGGTGAATTAAGGCATATTTACAACCACACTGCTACTTTTCAAATACCAAGGAGGGGTTAAATAGATGGATATTCCCTTCCTCAGCAAGGCTACAGGACAGTATTCCCAGACATAGTAAGAAACAGGCAGCAACTGGTTACAAGATAATACTAAAATTATAACAATGCTGCTAAAGGGGATTAAATACTGGGGAAAAACTAAATGAATAAAGGGTATTTCACACTTTCTGGGATACACTCAAGATATTTTTGGTGGATACATTAAAAATAATGTGTGATTAACAAAACATACACAGAGTTCACCAGCATATGAAAATTTGTCTCTTGATTCACAATCTAGTCACTCCATATAAAGTTAAGTAAATACCACAGTAAGCAGCATTTTGCTATCATCATATTTGTCACTGTACTCCTTATGCTTCCTACATATTCCATATTCTCTATGGAATACTGCCCATTCCCAATCAATTGACACTGAGACATGGGTTAATTAATTAAATGAAAACAAACTTTTTCCTTTGTGCTAATGTTAGGATTTCAAACAAAATCCCTCATTAGCAAATGAGATCACAATGGAAGGTCATAGTTTTCTTATCCACAGAGGCAATGTACCTTCATCCAGTAGAGGATTTCCAAAAATACTGAAAGCAACTTATATTTGAATAGTGACATAGATCACCTCAGTCACCATTTTTATACTGCCTTGAATCTATGCTGCATTCCCCATAAACCTTCTCCAGCTGAATTTATCCCACAGTCATATATCTGAGTGTGTTCATACGTGAAACCAGAGAATAGTTAAAGACCTGGGATGGAGTAACATTTGCTTCTCCAGATGCTGTTGGTCTCAGACTTAGATCAGTCCCATGGCAGTGGGTCAAGGATAATGGAAACAGTAGTCCAATTTCCGGAAGACCACAGTTGTGCTCCTTAGTGTGTTAGGAGCCTGGATTACAGCCAAACCACCTCCATCCTTTCCGTGGATCAACGCATGCATGTTAAAGCAGCCCTCCCCAACCTAGCACCCCCAGATGTTTCAGACTGTAACTCTAATCATATCAGCCAGCATAGCCAATGATCTGGGATGATGAGAACTGCCATCTACCACAGCCCCATCTGGCCATTAAGTTATTGCTTCTCTGCAGAGGCAAGAATCCAGCTCTACCATCCTGAGAACAGCAGGAAGCACAGCAAATGTTTCAGAGAGAAAGCTCAGTTCAAATGTCCATTTATAGAATTTGAAGCAGTAAAACTAGGAACAACTACTGTTTATGTCCTTGAAGAACAGCAAGTTAAACACAAGCTATTCTTCACCTTCATGTCTCTTCCGTCATCGACTGGAGATTGGCTGGAGGGGAAAGGCAGATCTCATTTCTGAAACAGGCTTTGAAGGATTCCTGAACCCTATCGCAGCTTCGGCTCAACGTGAACATCGATCACACAGTGCTTCGATAAGACAAGCCCTATTTGGGCATAACAGAACCCACCACTGTCAACTGAGTTACACCAATTTGATACCTCTTTAGTTGCCATGCTTCCACTCTACAGAATCTTGGAAGAATCCATAGTTTGGTAACGTACCTAACTTTTCCCGCCACACAGCTCTTGTTCCTCCAACTCCAACAGAAGATTCTCTCTACTGCACCAAACTACAGATCCCAGGACTCAGTAGAATGGAGCCATGAGAGCTAAAGCAGTGCCAAAGTGCTATAACTGTGTAGTGCAGACACACTCCAAGAATGTAAAGCTTTAACTGAAAGATGTTGGGGACTGCTTTCAAAAAAATGCAACCCTAACACCTTAGACTTCAAAACTACTGTCATATGGATTACAGGAACACCATCCTTCCTCCACTTCTGTAGTGTCATAGGAAAGGGTTAGTACAAGTAGAAGTTAACAGGTGCCATTTCTGCTTTATGACTTTATGTCCTTCACCAAACTCAGTCTCAAGAATGTAAGACCATTTTGCTAATATTTCGATCAACATAGGTGTAGTGAGGTTTCAGGCTTATAGACTATAGTTAGTTTGTTTTGAAAGCCATGAAATTAAACCCAATGCAAATGACACAGAGTTCAGATTAAAGAACGGTAAACTCAGGAACGTGTTCAAACTAGCAGAATTGAATAGAGCTCCACATAAAATTGACTTCAAGTGACAGCAACCTTTCTTCACTTCAACAGGATTGCTTAGGACTGGGACGGGGCTCTGAGGATCTTTTGTTGTAGCTTCTGCTATACCACTGGGAAACCAGATCAGTTGGTCCTCATCTCCCTCCTGCCCATCCCCACCCAATGACACCATAAAATAAATGAAAAAGATCTAGACTCAAAGAAAACAATCTTGACAGTTCTAAATCAATGACCACAAGGTGACAACAGACTTTTTACACACAGGTCCATCTTTCGGCACCTTTCTTGAGCCTAGAATGAAAATTTACTCTGGAAAGACATTTCGGTATGAACAAGCAAATTCTCTGGAGACCGAAATATAAAAACAAAGCATATCTGAGAGACAAAAAGCAAACTAATGTACAAAAACAACAAACATATAAACACATACATAGATAAACACATATATCCACTACTGGCACACCTTAGAAATCCAGACTATAACTCCCTAGAATTCCTGCCTATCCCGGAAATACTGAGGTCAGTTTCTTAACACAGTTTAACAAAATAACTATACTAGTATTTAGCTCTTGCATGCAATGGACAGCTCTGTTATCATACTTGCATTTACGATCCAGCAAAATTAATAGGTTATGGTCAAGCTTTTTACAACTCTTCACACTTATTAGCAGCTTGACAAATGCCAACAATCACATCAACTCTGACTTTTCTAAAGTACAACCGTGTACTATCTTACTCAAATCATACATGCCAAATTCCCAAAGAAACATTTACACTGGGTCACATTGGCACATTTCAAAAGGACATTTAAAAAAAACCCAAGAGAGACTGTACGTACAGGAGGCAACTTCAAGCGATTTTCTGGTGTTGATAGCATTTTTTGTTTTCCCTCTTACCAGTGCATCTGCCACAGCAGCCTCCAGATCTGTGCTTGTACTGAGGACTCGCATTGCATTCATAGAGGCAGGCAACCTGCCTGGCTGTCCAAGCCCAAACCGGTCTGCACAAAAGACAACAGTGAAAAGCCATCATTAAATGAGTTCATAGTCCCTCGGAATATTAATAAGGCTGCTGGCCAGGAATTTGCCAACAAAGACTGGGAGCTCTCGACATTTCTTTAATTACTAGCAGGCACTCTTTTTATTGGTTACTATGCTACGACTTTAGGACTATTACAGAAAGTGGGGGGGGGGACTTCAAAGTTCTGTGGTAGAGCGAGGTCCCAGAGGGAACACCAAGCAGGTCACTGGATGGCTTTATACTTCTTTGCTATAAACTACGGGTGGGTGGAGGCTGCATTTAAATCTCTCTCATGGTACCTTTTTAGTTGAACAGTTTCTGGCTATTTCTCTCACTCTTCAAGGGAGGGGACGTAAGCAGTACAACAAAATTTTCAGCGCAGAACTGTAGCTAACATTCTGTTTATCTGTAAGTAGTTTCCCAGGTTCTGTTGTTTTTACCATTGCAAATAGTGCTACTGAAATCAAACACCCAGAGGAATCACCTCCCAAGTCCAAGCCAGAGGGCAAATCAAGGAGCTTTAGCAGCTATCCACAAATAAAGTTAACAGCTTTGCAAAATAAAAACCATACTCTCTGTTCACAATCCATTTTCAGGGCAACTTTTCTCCTCAAGGACTAGGGTTTCACAAACCTGAATATCGAATCTTTTGGGATTTTTCTCTGAAAAATAACGCAGCAAATCTTGGTGGTGGTGGTCAGGAACTCTACTCTTTCTCCTAGCCAGCAAAGGAGAACGGACTAACATGTTACACCCCAAGCTAGTTTTTGATGGCCCTTGTTGCTCCCATTCATCAGTGCCAAAAGTTGCTACATTTCTGCAGCCACCTAAAGAACTGCACCGCTAAATATTGGTAGGGGTACTGGGAGGGGAGTGGAAATGGAGGGCGCCCTCCTCCCCTTTACCTTATTTTCTCTAAAGAAGACGACAATCTGTTCTGCAGGCAGACAAGGGGCCTGTGGTGCAGGAAAGTTCTGTGGCATCCTCCTTTCCTTAGAAAGCCACCAAATTGCAACAGCCATTATGGCAGCAGCAGAAAAATAGCCAGCACTGAGGGAGGCAATGCAGTTCCAAGAAGCTGTCCAGGCTTGGAGTAAAGATTTCTCTGATACCAATCAGTTTGGGGTGTTTTTAAACTGTCCTGGTTTGGAACATTTCCTCTACTTAAAATTTCATCATAAATAATTGTAGTTTTTCAAGCATGTAGTTTCGGTTACACATTGCTGTGGCTGAATAATGTCCATTTTTCAACATGATGTACATAAATTGATTCATTAGTTGCAGGTTTGCTCCAGCTTATAAAGTAAAGCACAGTTGTACAGTGGGGTCTTGACTTAAGAACGGCTCGAGTTAAGAACATTTTGACTTAAGAACCGCTCTCATAGGAAAATATTGACTTGACTTAAGTACTTAGATTTGAGTTAAGAACTGAAAAAAACCCACGTGGGAGGCAGGGATAGTGGAAAATGTGAACTTTCAGTTAACTGTTGGCCAGTGAAATGGGTGCCTGTCTGCTACCTCACTCCTCCCAGCGTTTAGAGAGTGGATTGGGAGACAGTCTTCGGACTGCCTGGCACTGTACTGCCTGGACTGTATTTTCCCTGCCTTCCCTGAACCTTTCTTGACCTAAGAAAAAAAGAAACAAAATATCCCCCTCTAGTGGTCGAAGGTGGAATAGCAGCTTCCCATTAGTTTCTATGGACGGAAAAGAGCAGAGACGGATCAAATGGTTCTCAATGCATTCCTATGGGAAATGCAGATTTGACCTGAGAACTTTTTGACTTGAGAACCGCCTTCCAATACAGATTAAGTTCTCAAGTCAAGACCCCACTGTACCTGAAAAGTGTTCAAAACAGAACATACTGTATAGTTTTCTTTTTGCAAAACTGTCATCTGTCTCCCCAATCAGCTCTCAAATGCAAGGATTTAGGGAGGAGTTTTGAATTGACATTTAAATTTAATGGAAGGCATGATGGGGAACTGGGGGAGGGACCAGGGTTTAATATAGGTAAATCCAGATCTAGGTTTTTAAAATGCAACAATTACAAAGGAATGTGAGAATTTGTGTTTTTAAAATGCAACAGCCATAAAGAAACATGTGCTGAAATACAACTCCATAGCTGGGTAGCTACTTACACACATCTTTTAGAGAACTGCAAGGTTCATTCCTCATACCCAGCAAAAGATGAGCTACTGTACATTGAACTGATGGCACTATGTGATAGGAAAGGATTCAGGCTGATGCCCAATTAATCCCTCCTGCTGACAGAATACTTTCCATAAACAGAACATGGAGGAAGTAATTCCCAGTGCCAGCTTCATGCTGACATGCCCTCAGAATCTGCTCTGGGAGACCAAGAATAGAAGGGAAGGGAAAAGTCTATTGTACACATGGGAATTCACTTCCATGGACATCCTGTTTTACCCACAGACTTGTACTCAGCATTCATGCATAAGGTTACTGCTGTGTAGATCTCGTTTGCTGGGTTGTAAAAATTATTTCTTATTATTTTGTTACTATGTGATCCTGAAAATTATTTGTTAACTATTTGTCCCTTCAATAAGGGAATTATTTGCTAACTATACTACTTGTCACAGTGTGATTTTTTTCTTTAATAAAAATGTAAGCTGCAAGCATATATTTAAGGGAACGCTGACATTAAAAACAATGTCTTTCAGCAGCTTTGTACTTTAAACCATCATGTACAAGAATTCCTCACAATTTTGGGGTGGAGGATTCCAAGGCAAGTGACACAGAAACTTAGAAATATAACAAGTGCATTTTAAAGATAATCTGTGAACTGTATGAGATCTGGGTGTGTTTTTTTAAGCTTTTGAAGTTTTCACTACAACACAAATGATGTACGATGTATTTCATTAGGCCTGCATGAAGGGAAACAGCATCAAATCAAGCATGATGAAAGAAAAGAATTTTAGTTAATGCAAAGAGTGCAAAATCAATGATTTTTAAGCATTGGGACAATGCTACCTACAGAATATTTTCCCCCAAATTTTATTATCAAGACATTTTAAATCTACAACAAGCACAATTTCTAAAATTAAAATAAATTACATGCAAAAATTGAAATACAGTATCTGTAATGAAAAACTGTTTCCAAAAGTAACAGACTGATGACATTTTAAAAGGAAATAAAAGTTGCTTGTGTTACTGCTATTCCCTTTTTTTAATGCATTGAGTTATTGAAGCAGCAATGCTTACTTCAAATATCTGTTTTGCTCCATGTTGAAAGGTCAGATGGAAAGATGATAATGCACAGAAAGTGACAAACCAAAATGTTCAAGTATGTAGATTTGTAATTCATCTGTATGCACTAGTAAATATTTGGCAAAATATAAAAGCTGTAATCCCAAACCTGTTGTTCAGCATACTTATCTGAGCAACAGGTTCCAGAGACAACAAATAATAGAAAAATTACACTTTTCCCCCTTTGGGCGTAGTTTCATTTCAGTTGCATTGCTCAGATCTCACTTGGGGGCGGGGAGAAATCACCCCAGCAGTTTAAAAAAAAATATCCAGCATTTCTACTGGAATATCTTTAGCTTGAATCATTAGACTGGAATTTATTGTGAAGTATCATTAGCTCTGTGGTTTAGATATATGGCTGCACAGACAGAGGTTTGGAGTTTAATTTCCCACTGTGCCTCCTTGGAGTAGAGTCATTGTGTAGCCATGGGCAAGCTGCACAGTCTCAGAAGAAGGGACTGGTAAACTACTTCTATGTATTCTCTACATAGAAAACCCTGCAAAGGGTTGCCATAAGTCAGAACTGACTTGACAGCACACAATTATTATATTGTATCATTTCCCGACTGCTGTGAAGAAGGCAGCAAAAGAATGCCCTGGATGTTTAGGCCTTGTAATGGTGACTCTTTGCTCCTCATCAGCTTCCCTCGAAGTCTGATGGCAGAACAACAGAAGGAACACAGGAAAAATAGGTAGGGTGTCACACAAAAGGAAAAAGGAGTCAGATGGTGTGACCCTCTTCCTGTCTACAGAGTAGAAACCACATCAGTCCTACTATGTACAGGTAGGGGGTTTTTTCCCCCTGTGCTACAAAAGCCTATAAAAATATTGTTATTATTGGGAGTTATTTGGATGGCTCCTTTAACACAGATAAGAAAAGAATCTGCAAGATAAATCCCAATCAACCATTCTTTGTACATCCAAATAAAGTATCTAAAAAGACAGAATGGCTCTCAGCTAGTAATTGAATCAAGATAAGCTAGTGCATGGCAGGTGAGTCTATGAGATTGAAGTTATTTCATGGAAGGCCCTTCTACTGAAAGCTGCTTCTGTGGAGGTATATCTGTCAGTTTGGTAACATCTGGGAAAGAAACTAGGAGAAAGATTAACTTTCTGTTCTCCATCAGCTTATATATTTACACCTCCTCCATCTGGCTACGGTTCTTCAGAGGATTTCACAGATATATAGTATGGCCAGTTTTCCCAACGCAAGAGTGTTGACTGCTACTGCAGGGAAAGCAGCCTAGTAGATAGGTTGGAGTCAACCCAGGCAGTTCACTAGTGTTGGGACATATGAAGAATGACTTGAAGAAATCAGTGTTCTCCTTCGACCAGACTGAAAATTTCTGAGAACCACAACTAATATGCCCAGCATGGGCCATTAGAACCACTACTTCTACCCTGACCTTATGAAAAACTCTGGTGAGGAACAATGTCAGGAGGAAGGTACGGCTAAAGGTCACCATTACAAGGGGAAAGATGTGGACCACATGATCCATTTCAGTCCTAGGCAACAGGAAGCTCTACATTGATTCATTTGGATGCTTCCTTCCCTCCAGCAGGCAGAAAGTATGGGCACTGCTGCTTTAGATTATTCAGGGCTATTCCAGTGTAAGGTATGTAAGTACTCTGGGACATTTGGTCTACGAATGTGGAAAATTTGTTGCTTCCTAACAAAATAATGATCAAGGATGAAGGTGTAGCTAAATTCATTTTAGAAAATATAAACAGGTGTAAGCATCTTTGCCCCAGAAGTATTCACTATGATTTTTTCATATCAAAAGCTGCAGTTATGAACAATTATTGGAGAAACCACAAGCTAAGTAACATAAATCATTGTGTTGTGTTAAAGAGATACTGCCAGGGAATTAACCTCAAGGAAAATTTATCACTTGAAAGTCTAAATCCACAGTGAAAATATAGATCCAGCAATGCTAGTTGAAATGGTCTTTACATGAGCCAGGATTAAACTCTGGCTGCCACGTGTTTTCCAACAAATTTAAGTCGGCATTAAAAAAGGGACGGTAGCTTTCAAAACAATGTATGGCAATCAGAATGGCAACGTAAATTGAGTTGTAAGCCTTTAATATACCTATTAAAAACAACTAAATCGCATCACAGTAAGTACAATCTAGCATGCAACTGAGTTCCCCGCTTCTGGATATGGGTAGAATGAATGAAATGGTTAATGATGTGAGATCTCTCTGGTCAGCCTCAGGTTTTGTGCTTTTTTGTCTCTTTCCTCTGCACACTAGATGTTTTCAGCTAACTAATGTTCATATGTAGGATAGGAATAGAAAAAAACTCTCTGAAAAAATCTTGGAAGATAAGCAGAAAATGGGAAAAGTTCCACATATACAGGCCACAAGTTTACAAGTTACTACAGCTGGGGGGTTTGGCTCTACCTTAGTGACAGTCCTCAAAAATGAAGATTAATCATTAAAGCCTCTTCACAGTTGCTCTGCTACACAGACAAGGAGAGGCTCGGCCCATCCTTCTACAGAGACTTAGTTCACTCTTTTGAGAAGTGTTTCTCTGCAGAGTCAGGACAATGCGTCTTGACAAACCAATTAGTTACAAAATAAAGCATTTTGCAGAGGTTGCCCTTATTCCTCTGATGAACACTGGCACAATATAAAGGGTTCACAATGCAAAACGTAGCTGGGACAACTGTTTCACATGTCTGGGACAAAATGAATACTGTCATGACTGACACTGAGATGTCCTGTCTCCAAAATGTCATGACAGAGTTCTGAATTCATATATAATAACTAATGTGGCATTCCACACGTCCAATGTCAAGATAGGAAAAGGAGCTGCTGTTGCCTAAATGGGCAGAAGGAATATATCCCCAGTTTATATTCTGCACCTGCATGGGTGATTTCCCCCCCCCCTCAGGCAGTGTCATCCTTAAAACAAAATCTTAAAAGGTATTTCCTTACCATTTTATAATGGCATTTTGCTAGTAATGTCAGAGCAAACAGTCCGTAACGCAGGGAGATGAGTGACTAAGTGAAAAAGATGGGGCAGTGGGGTAAGAGGGAAGATTCTCTCACAGGCAACTGAATGAGAGCTAATTGGTGTAACTGCCATATAGCTCTACATATTGGAATTTACCATGCAAAATGTCAACTGGATATGATACCTAACCACACTGTGGAAGGTACTGATGTGAAAATGCAGTGAACAGTGTGGCCCACAAAATGTTGTCTAGCAGCACAACCCAGCATAGCCAACAGTGAGGTATGCTAAGAACTGCAACCCGACAATATCTGGAAGGCCATACTTTGCCTTCTTTTGCCTTACGGCCTGAGACAAAACCATCCACCCCCACCCCCAAAATATTCTTTTGTTCAGAGTGAATTTCTTGTTCAACTTAGTAAAAAAAGAGAAAACAAAGAATAGTGGGTCTCGTACTGCTGTTATACAGTATCAATTCCCCCTTATTTTTCTTCTCACAATGGAGAAATGGAGGGCTGGTTCTCAGACACAAACATGTAACGGCCAATTAAGGTCCAGTTTTCAATGTTTATACTGTATGCCATGTCCCAAGTAATTTCTCATTTGCTCATGTTTTGAGACAGATGATTTTATATAAAGATTAAAATCAATTTAAAGAGATACTTTGAATTGTTTTTTAAAAAGCAGTCTGTTAAATTAAAGCAGGGGTCTCCCAAGTATGGCCCATAGGCCACATTTGGCCCACCTTGCTTTTTTATCTGGCCCGTGCGGGTGTGCAGGTGCGCAGGCGGGAGTGCGTGTGAGTGGGAGTATGTGTAGGTGTGCAGGAGTGCAGAAGGTGGGCAGGAGAGCACGCATACACGCATGTTCCTTCGGCCCTGAAAATACGGCCCTCACTGTGAAAAGTTTGGAGACCCCTGAACTAAAGCAATAATGTTTCCTTTATATCTCCTCCCCATAAGAAAAACTTTCCAGGCTTGAGTATGGACTGATAAAAAATAATATTACCAAAAATGGCTATAATGACTGATGTCATTTTACACTACAGCAGTAATGGCGAACCTATGGTACGTGTGCCACAGCTAGCACACAGAGCCCTCTCTGTGGGCACACAAGCCATAAGACACCATCGAGAAATACTTACCCATCCTCTGATCCCAGATTTTGGTACTCCCCTCTGCGGGTGCAGTGGTCCAGCAGAGGGATGCAATGGTGGCTATTATCAGTCTAGCCCAAAGGGGGATTGGAGGACTGGTAAGTATTTCTTTGTTAATACCACCCATAGGAAAAAAACAAACAAGCATTTAACCCTTGCAGTGCAGGAGCAGTTGTTTTTTTCTAAATTAAAACTTCAGTATTCGGGTTTTAATTGCAGAGTTGGCACTTTGAAATAAATAAGTTGATTTGGTGCTGCAGTTTGGGCACTCGGGCTCAAAAAGGTTCACCATCACTGCACTACAGTATGGTGATTTAACATAACACTAAACTATGTCTTATTTTTCATGAGCATAAAACAGCTTGAGCAAAGCCCTGGGCAGGCATATCACCCCAGTGTCCAGGAGGACTAAATATTGCCCAATGCCTGGCTTGTCAATTCCATAATGACCAGGAACCACTGTTTAAAATCAGTTCCAATCAACTGCTCCACAAACTAACCCAGGGCTGTTTAAAACACGTGCGTAACAAACCAGTATTTGTTTAAAACCAGAGGTGCGCAGACTTGTCTTAGTGGCCCTGTTGCTTACAGAGTTCTGGGAGCTATAGCATAAAAGCACAAATCTGCATAATTTTATTTAAAACAATGATATAAATTTGAACGTAACAAGCCAGGAATCAGCAAAATGCAACCCTGGCTTATTCTTCCTCCCATTCACGTAACAAGATAAGGAAGATTGTAATTTAGTGCATACTCCTTCCTGCTCACACATACAGTGCTAAGCAGCCAATGTGATATCAAAAATTCAACTACAGTATGTGACTGAATTTTTAATCTCGCCTTTGTTGTTCTTGATCAGTTAAGTCACTTACAGAATGTTGGAAATGTTTGGCCCTAAAGGGCTACTCTATTGTGGCTGTGGGTGTTTTGCATAAGCTTTTCACAGTGTGGGCAGGGCCAGATATGTGGAAAGTTACTTCTCCAGACTATAACTTCAAAACACTTCAGTCAGCATTGGCCACTGTTGATATTTGCTGTTGAGATGTAATCTTTAAAAAACAAACACAAAACCAAAACATTCCCCTTGTCTGGGGAGAATTCAGTATCTCTTGATACTACATATGCACCACACCTGACAGGATGACATAGTAAATACATCACCAAGTCCTAGATAATCATTTTAACACTGTTTCCCTTCTAGAAATAGTGTAAGCAAAGAAAACAGAAAACATTCAAAACTTAAAATGACAAAAAGCATGTTGGAACAAAAGAAAAATCCTATGGTGAGGGAGGTGGAGGAAGCCCATGCTAAGTGCTGAGTGACAGCTGTGACAGCAAATGTTAAAACGGCAATAAAAGAGACAATATTAAGAAGCAGATTCATGCAGTTAGCACTTGTTCACCTGACTGCCCAACAGAATCAGCAGTGGAGAGAGCACTAGTGGACCTGGAATGACGTCGAGAGGCTGCAAGTAGAAGGAATGGCAACACCCACAGGATTAACAGACAGGTACTCAAGACAAAAAACACCACAAGCCAAAGGGGATACACATGATTCAATACCAACACTGGTGTTACATAGCAAAAGGAAATGGCACTGCATATGAATGGACGTATCAATCAACTGCAAGCCCCATGGCAGCATCAACACCAAGTTTTCTTGGCTCACCTTCCACCAACCAACTCTATTCTCAGCCAAGGGGCATGATGTATGAGAAACAAAACTATTCACTCTTATGACATCCAGGTTGTATGAAATCCAGCCAAGATCAGTAAGAGTGAATCACCTGCCAGCTGCAGGAGAATCACAATGCAAACATGAAATGATTGGCTTAGCAGTCCCAGGATTTAGATATGATCAGTCCAAATCCCATGGTAAAGACACAATGAATCATTAGAAACTGTGCTTGCAAATATAAATCTGAGTCTTCTCATTCACCAATGTGAACCCATAATCAGTAAATACAATCCATAGGCTAAGATGGACTACATAACGCAGAAAATAAGGTGTCAGAAGAGAGGAATAACCATCATTAATCATACTTGCCTTTTGAATGACATTTAAATCGCCATTCCAATACATTAAAAAATCACCTATTATTCTGAATATAGAAAGCTATCTCATACAGATTCAGAACACTGGCCCATTTCACCCCTGGCAGCAGGCTTCTGGAAGATCCTTTTCGATCCTGACCCCTGGGGTCCAGTCACCACAGATATCAGGGATTGAACATGCGACCTTTCACAAGCAAGGTATGTGTTGTGCCAAGTGAAGTTTAATTTGAATATGGTATAACGCTCACTTTGCCTTGAATACTTACAAACTTAGTTTCAACATGAAAAAAAGGAAATTCAGATTAAGAGGAGCTTTAGATCACTGATAACACGTTTCAATAAATATAAATATGCAGTTAGACTTGTGGCTGGATAGCACTCACCACCTAAAAAGCAGGAAACTAGCACTGAGAATGAATAACAAGTGACTTTAACTAGATTATATTTACAAGTACTTGTAGTGATCAATGGCAAATTAATTGTCAGAGTGCTTGAAACAGTAAAAGTCCATAATCCTTTATTTAATCAGTCATGATGACATTATCAGAAATAATGCTGAAAGTTGTGTTCATGATACAGTCAACAGTACATGATCTAGAGAAGGGCATGAACTGCCAGCCTGTTTATCCGCTGAACAGGCGTTTGCTGCTTCATAGTCCTGCCTCCTCCAGCAGGCCCCCACTCAGAGGTAGCACTGGGAGGAGGCGGGGCAGGGAAGCTGGGCTACTATGGAATGATACATGTAATGTGGAGAGCAATACTGCAGAAGCAGAACTGGATATAAGGCTCTGGAAACTATTACTTGCTTTTCTAGGCTTCTGAAAAGTTACCAATGAATGGTAAAAATGCCTGCCTATAACATTTGACTATATATGTGGGGACCTAGAAGGAATGAGAGTAGATCCAATAAAACGTGTGAAATGGCTAGTTTTCTATCAGTTCTCTATAACATTGTTTTGATTTTGTAATATTTTATGGAGATCTTGTATGCTCTTATCTGATGCACCCTCTAATCTCCAGCCCTGCTGGGCAGGGCTCTGTCTCTCTTTTGCGCAGTTTTGCCCCTGCACACGTGTATGACTCTGCCCACCGTGCACTGGGTTCCATTGCGACTGGAACATCACGTGATCACTGCATGGAGAAGAAAGAGAGCTGCGTGGGGGGAAGTGGCGTTGTGTGCGTGCCCAGCTTAGCAGGAAGCTTGCTCTTATCTGATAACAAAAATAAGCACCACTCTATCATCTGACTGGAATATCATGTGATCACTGCATGGAGAAGGAAGAGAGCTGCGTGGGGGGAAGTGGCGTCGTGTGCGCGCCCAGCTTAGCAGGAACCTTGCTCTTATTGGATAACAAAAATAAGCACCACTCTATCATCTTCTCTAATATGATAAAAGTTCCTTGTTTGTATCTGCTGAAAACTACCGTTATCAATATGCTGGACCCTGCCATTTAATAAAAACATAATGCAGTTCCTAGATTAGTGCATATCTATCAGGTACAAGGAAAGCTGTCCGACCAGATCATACTTACTGTTGCAAACTATGATAAAAAAGAGTTTATACAGTAATAATATATTGATCAATGCCAAAAGAAGGTCAAACACAGTGCTAAAAGAATTGTGCTTCTCTGATAAGTGTGTTTATGTATGTCTGTGTTATCAGAAAAGGAAAAAGGAATCCTGGAAAAAGTGACATTAAATCCAACTATTTGAGTCACAGTGGTTGTTTTGATTATTCAATATATTTCCAATACACACACATTTGTGCCTTTAGTAATTCTGAAGTTCAGAAAACTTTGGCTTAGCAGTTGAATGCATATCTGGTTGCATTGTGTGTACATATTTTAAATTTCAAATCACTAGGAACCTGTGCATTTGGTTGCATTATTTGTCAAGAAGAAAAACATGCAGCTTTGTATTCACCACTGAAAATTACCCCAAACTATACAGATCGTCTACATCAATGTGCTCCAGTCTGAATCAATTAGATATTGAAAACACACGACTAGGGGAAAAACAGCATGAATACCATGTTCTGTGGGCTTGAGAACACTGAATGCACATACACACTGCATCGTGAGAGCTGCTGCCTTAACACAAGGGATGAACCCATTCATATGGTATTTCCAAGTGAAAGGAGGAGATTGTGGGACACAAAATTCCTTCTCCTGGAGACTCAACCTTGCCTCGCAATTCACATATTCAGTGGCTGCTTACAAACTTCAGAGCCCAAGAATGAGTGAGTGACACTGTAGCACTGTAAGAGAAGAGTCCCCCTCTCCCCACAAGCATACCCTGGGTGCTCCAGAGATACTTCCCTATCCTCCCATATTGTATATCCCATTCTCTGTGGCAGACTGCAGGGCCAGGCAGAAACAAGCTCCTTTCACCAGCACAATAACATAAATTTGTTCATTATTTTAAAAGAAGAAGAAATGGCTTGAGAGAAAACTGAAGTTGAGAAGCCTGGGCTTGTATTTCTATTCAGACCTCCCCGAAGACCCTGTCTGACCCCCAGTGGTTCTCATACACTATCTGAAATCGCCAAGTAGTCTCAGTAAAGTTTGTAGAACTTTCCCTTTCTATACATCACAGCACAATAATGATTCATGCTTTAATAACTATGGCTATCAATTTCCTTTCTTTAAAAAACTTAGTATAGTATAAGTCTTCTGCTTGGGTATACATTCCATAATTACCATATTTTTCATAAGACGCACCTCTCCATAAGACGCACGAAATTTTAGGAGAAGAAAACAGGGAAAAATTAATCTGTTTTCTTCTCCTAAAAATTTGGTGAGTCTTATGGAGAGGTCCGTCTTATGGAACACACCCTAGCCGCCTCCGGCCCCGTGGGGGGGTGGGGGAGCCTCCAAAGGGTCTTAGAGTGTGTTCCAGGACCCTTTGGAGGCTCACCCTGCCCCCCCCATGGGGCCGGAGGGGGCGAAATAGCCACCTTCAGGGACTCTTCTGAAGCTTCCCAAGCCTCAATAGACTCCCAGAAGGTGGCAATTTCGCCCTCTCTGGTCCGGTGGGGGGGGCCAGGTGAGCCTCCAAAGGGTCCTAGGGTGTGTTCCAGGACCCTTTAGAGACTCACCCTCCCCCTCCCCTTGGGAGGCTCCCCCCCATGGGGCTAGTGGGGGCGAAATCGCCACCTTTGCTCCATAAGACACACAGACTCCCCCCCCCGACTTTTGGGGAGGAAGTGTGTCTTATGGAGCAAAAAAATATGGTACAGTGGGGTCTTGACTTGAGAACTTAATCCGTATTGGAAGGCGGTTCTCAAGTCAAAAAGTCTGTAAGTCAAGTCTCCATTGACCTACAGTGCATTGAAAACCGATTAATCCCGTAACAGGCCGTTTTTGTTCCATTTTGGTTTTTTCTGGTCTGTAAGTCAAATCTCAGTCTGCAAGTCAAACCTAAATTTTGCGGCCAGAGAAGTCTGTAACTCAAAAAGTCTATAAGTCAAGCCGTCTGTAAGTCAAGGGTCCACTGTATATAAAAGCATTGGACATAACCCAAGATTGTTTCTGTGAACAATTCTGGGAATTTCAATGCAACATTTGTTAGCTTTAGCTTCAGGTTAAGTTCTGCAGTATTACCATCAATTGGTAAATGATGGGGGAAAAGTAGATGGTTTCCCTGGCAAGGTAATCTAGAAATCATAGTCCTTAGGATAAGAGCTTGTTAGCCTGTTTCATTGTCCAGCCCTGGCCCAGTGGGCTTATTTGCTCACATCAGAAACCATAAAGCACACACATTCTTGAGAACTTCAAAAGTTTTAGAAACCATTTAAATGAGTTTTGATCCCCAAGTAGTCAATAGACACCAATCTCCTCTAGGTCATAGAAAAACAGCTGTAAAAATCTGTAAAATTCCAGAATTATTAGATGTATTTCATCAAAAGAAGAAATACTACCATACCAATGAGGGAAAAGTGATCTATATGCAGCAAATGAATCTTAAAACAGATGAAAGTACATTTTCATATACAAATGTTTTAAGCAGCCAGAGCAACTTTAATTTGGGGCTGAGAATGCAAAAGAGAATTCAAGAATGTGTGTATTCAAACAATACAAAATAATCTCCATTCTGTAGAAAATTCTTCTAGGAGACTATGTCAGGCTGCACTGTATTTCCATAATTAATAAGAATTAAAGTCAAATAACATGATCAGGAAAATTACAAGGACAACCTGTTTCTGCACTAAACCATTTCAAATATGTGGTTCCACATTTTCAGTTTAAATGGTTCCTCATACAAAGAGAGACAATAGCAGGTTTAAAAGGTCTTAGGCAGAGCAGATATATAGGGATGAGTTGCTTTCTTGTATTTGTTATTTGTGCACTCTACACAAGAATGATGAATGGGATATGTATATTTGTTTGCATGGTAACATATGGAAGTAAAAGCTTCAGCTAATTTTAAAATTGTTTTTTAAAAAGGAAAGGACACTAGTTTTGTGCAGTCTTCCATAGAAACATTTTGCAAAAAGTGCAGAATCCTTCAAAGAGAAAAGAAACACTCATGAATTTTGGACATCTCTCACTGAAGTGTCCCATGGAGGAATCTCATAGAGCTTGGAAATCTCTCACTGAGGTGACCCATCGTGATGAGACGGTCCAAACTGAAGATAGCACCCAATTTAATCAGTATTCTTCACATCCTTACATGTCACATATCACAAAAAAGTAATTTAGGAGGTCATACTTCAAAGTGTTTAGAATATTTGGCAGCCCTATGCTTAATGCAAACTCATTTTGTTCGGAATAATAGGAGATGAACACAAACAACAATTTTTATCATTGTCACTAACTGCAGAAATCCATTCTGCTATGGATTTTAAAAACATGGAAACCCTCTGATATATAGTGCATACTTGGGATTAATACACGTTAATTATACCTTAACTGATACGAGAATCCTAAGTACATTCTCACACTTCATCTAATTAAGGTACACTGGTAAACCACAGAGATTACTGTGGGGGAGAAAAAAACAGAACACCAGAGCATGCAAAACTATTGTTAGCCTACTCCTGATTTATGTCTCACAGATCTCACGTACCACTGAGGTACGTAATAATATTACAATACTACTATAAATATTAATGTACACCTTAGGACCCAGTTTCTGAAATCCTGCTCCATAACTGAGTCCACATAAGGCTAATGACACCAGCAGCCATGGTGATTTTTCAGAAATAAAAAAAAACCTTCCAACCTCTCTACCCACCTGAAGGTCCAAAGGCTTCCAAGGGATCCCTTTTATCGGGAGGAAGCCATCAGAGATCGTGGGACAAGGAAAGTCTTTAGTTTAGTTCAAAACCAGGGGCAAAATCATCTATTTCAAATTTTTGATTTCCAAAACACCACCAGGGCTATTGATGCTATCAGCCTTGTACAGCATAATTTATGGCAACAGGATTTCAGTCAATACATTATGGTGAAATAAAGATTTCACGTGGAGTGATTCTATTTGAATCATTTTGTTTTTCCCATGGCTAAAAACAACTCCAAACTAACCAACACATGGATAGGAGACCACTGACAGCACCACATGCTGTAAGTTGTTCTGTACTTTCTAAGAAGAAGAGCATGACAAAAACAAACAAACCCCACAAGCCTCTCTGTACTTTTGTCCTGCTCATACGTATTTCCCCAGCTTCCCAACTTGCAAACCTGATTTTTTTTTTCCCAATCCATGTTGGTGAAAGCAAGTTGCTGCAATTCATATACAAAACCAAGACTCCAGTTTCATGCTCATAACATTTTCTTTCCCACACTTTGAAATCCCAAGGTGTATTTGGCATGCACTGCTAGAATGTGAAATAAAGACTCCATATTATAGAGCTGCTTCTTACACATCCTTCAGATTTGCTGCAAACAAACCTGCCAAATGCAAACTAAGCCAACATTAGGACATGATTTACGTGACTGCTTCACTTTGATTCTCAAGTTTTGTGCCTCTCAACAAACTCTTGATTTCAGGGTGCTCAGACTGGAGGAAATTTTCCTTCAGATTATCCCAGGCAACTGGTTGAAAACATGAAGAAATACCCAATAAGAAAGACCCAAAGATTTCATGTTGCTAATTTGGACAAACAGTTTATCATTGGAGCCAGACAGCTAGATCTAAATTTTTTAAATAAGAGGGATTATCGTGGTTGTGTTGTGAAACTAGGAGGAATCCACTGTTGCTCTATGAATGAAGGAATAATTCATTTAAAATAACAGCTGTTTTGATTGAAATTAGAAGTTAGAAAGTGTTACCCTGGCAGAATGGCGATATGATATGCATACAGCCCACAGAAAACAATGCAAATTGTAAAATTAAATTACAAACACATATCCTCAGATCTCTGCAGAGTAAGCTTTTATTGCATCAGATCAAAAAGGCCCAAGCTCATGCTTGATGGTAATATTACCCTTTCCCTGCCATTGCAGAGCTAGCAGCTTTGGAATTTGCTGTATTTGCCAAAACCAATGTGGCTCAAGTATGTTTAAAGAATTCAGAGATTATCAAAAGGATTTTAAATCAATGGATCTTCCTAGCAAAGGAAAGCAGGTCTTAAGCATGCAGAAGGGAACAGGAGAAACGTGAGGATCAGAAAGGGAGGGGGAGTGTTGGGAAGTTAAGAAAAGGAAGAAACAAGCTCATTCCACCTAGTGATGTCCTGACTAGGCAATGAGAAAAAGGGAAGAGGGAAGGGCCCTTAGAAGTTCCAGCGCCTACTGGTACTCACCAAGTGGAGGGAAGCCCCGAGCAGGGCTTGTATCTCGGCTGCTCTCACGGCTGGTATCGCGGCTGCACCCCTGACTCACGCTGGGTCGGGGGATACGGCTGCTCCGTGCTAGCATGCAGCATGGAGAGTTTCAGAGAAGGTGAACACAAGTTTAATGAGGAGACAAAGCTCAGACAGGAAAGTCACATTTATGGTCATTATTGACATTAGTAAGTTCAACTGGCAGGAGCCACCAACTTGGGCTTGGCACCAACCAACTGCAATGCATGCCAAGGGTACCTTCCTGTGTTACAAATCAGTATACCTGAGAGGCCTGGCTTTGGCAGGCAATCCCGACTGCCATACTGGGCCAGGGACAGAAGATTTAGTTGACAGGAGAGGGTTAGAGTAACACATAGAGAAGGCATGCCAAACTACTAAGAAGAGTAGAAATGTTGTGGAAAGGCTTCATCTATACATATACATATATCAAAGAGAGAAACAAATGTGATGCACTTCCAATGAGTAACAAAATCAAAGGAAGTGATTCATTGTATATTGGCATCTTGGGTTCGTTCGGCAAGGCTGTTTCTGTAAAAACTCACCACAGACCTTTCCACGAAACCTTCTAGTTCCATTTTATTACCAAGTACAAAGAAGTCTGAATGTGGGTAGCCATGTTTGTTCACCTTCAATTCCTCCTGCACTTACCCTTCCGAGCCCTCCCTTCTTTCTGGCGAGTGTCCATGGTCAGGTATTAAGACTGTAATTTCCTGGGGGCATAGACCTTTTTGTTTGCAGTTATGCTGTAAAGCACAATATACAGCTAGCTACATGGTGCTTTACAATATAACTTGAAACATATAGATATAACCTGAATGCATAAATAAGTTTGAACTTTTTAAAAAATCAACCATCCCTAAAGAACTAGAAGAAGATCTCAGGCATCCATTCATGTTGAAAAAATTAGGAAGGAGGTCCCCCTAAGGGTGTGTTCACAATGCTGCTTGAAATGTTTCATGTAAAGCAATACAAAGCCCTTCACTTTTGAGAATAAGAAAAATGGACTGAATAACTGACTCCTCATTCAGTTCATGAAATGGTTCATGGACGCAAACTGATCCCCATCTCCATCCCCATCTATGCAAACCCTAAAATTAATCCACATTCTGGAGGAATCAATGGTCTACATAATGAGACTAAACAATAAATTAAATTCTAGGTTGATTACGTACCATTAACTTTACATCACAGACAAGAAGCCCGCTGCACTCGCCAGAGCACAACAGAACAGAGTTCAGCACGGCCCTGGCTACCCACTGCGAAAGTGGGAATGTCCCCATTGGAACATAGGCTTCCCTTTGTGCAAGGAGGTGTTGAATACTTCCTTGCACAAGTCAGGAAAATATCAAACCACTCATGCAATGGACCACACAGGAACTGGTTTAACTGATCAAAATACTGGCTAGAGTGCTGAAGGCTTCACAGGAATAAGATATTGACTGTAACACAAAACTGTCACGATGTTTTGGAGATGGCAGAAACGAATCTCAGAATCTGTAAGAATTTCTGCATCTATATCTGTGTATATATACTAAAGCCATTTTTATATGTAACAATAAGCAAGGGCACTTGGCTTATCCCTGCATATGTGGGCTGCTTACTTCTGTTTTGTTCTGCTTTTCATGTCAGTGGGTAATCGTAATCAATATGAGAAATTGAATTTTGTTTCTCAGATAGATCTGGATTCATAAACTAATTGGAAACTCCAGACATCTTAAATTTAGTTCATTCACATCATTTTTAACAGCATATTGTCCTGGGATGACTGGCTAACAAAAAATTATAGCCGTTTTCTCATTATGGTGACCACACTGGCCATAGCTTGGCGCTGATGCATTGATCCTTTTCTCAAGTACTGTATACTCACATCTCACTTGTATTAATTTCCCTCTCTGCGTTCTGTTTGCCTTCTGTGAAACTACAACTATGGAATGTATCCAAGGAATTCTAGAAAGGCAAGCTCCCCCGCCCTGCCCCGCCTTACCATCAAGCTTTGCAATTCTGAATTCTAATATTTCTGAACTCTAATCATATACTTGCATTGCCTTTAGTCCTGCTACCTTTTCCAGTCCCATGTTTATCTACCAACTCAAGAAGTTCTGATGACTTAACTCTTCCCAGTCCTATCCTGTTCTTTTATCTGGATGCTCTAGCTTCAGGTTCTGGCCAGCATGTTAGAATTTCTTATCAACATCTTACAAATTGTAACTTCTACATTCAAAACAAGATTAAAGCTAGCACATTTCACACAGAAGCAGATAGCCCGAGATGGACATCTATGTACAGCAACGGTATTTGATTACAGGACATTTATTTATTTATGCATTTTATTAGACTTGTATACCACCCATCTAGAACATGTCTACTCTGGGCAGTTTACACAAAATGTATTCAAAATGAAAGATGGGACATACACAGTGGTACTAGCATAGGTTCATTAGGTGGTGGGTACACTACAGAGTAAGTCAAAAACTTTACAGTAACAGGTGCCGTTTTTGAACTATAAGAGAGTGCTATCTCTCTCTCAAAGTCTCAATTATTTAACATTGTTTAACAAAGTAAAAGAAGCATTATTAAGCACAGATATTTTGGCATATCATATCATATTTAATTACTATCCTATTGTAACCTATGCTCCAGGGAATATATCTGAACGGTATCAAATCAGGTGAGTGGCAACAAAACACAAAACACTAATTTAAAGCAAAGATTATTGCCTGCTTAATACCATGATTAAAAAACGAACAATTTATGTTAATTACCCTGACAGATTTGTCTTGGCCCCTGCATTGCTAAAGGGTAAAATAGAATTAAGGCAAACACTGGAAAATCACAGTCATCCAGCAGCCACATTAAGTTTCTGCAAGAATTGTTAAAGCATTGTAAACCAAACCAGGCTCCGAGTTCCATACCACAGACTAAGGAGAAGCTTACCTAGACCGATCCTGTTTGGGCTTGTCTCTCGGCTACAGCCCTGACTTCGAGGGACCTTGTTGCGTTTGTCAGCAGGTGATGGAACTGCATGTCCCCTGGCTGTTCCACTGCTCAGCCCGCCATATGCACTTCCCAACAGTTTGCCAGGGGAACTGGATCGACTCCCAGCTGGAAAGAAGCAAGAGATTAAAAACCCTCAGATCTTCAGACAACTCAAAATTCAATTCAATTAAACCTAAAATGAAATTATAAAAAAATATAACTTATAATGACATGCAAACTATCATACAGCACAAATTCTAGGCATGGACTTTATGTTAATAAGAATTGCTGGAGAAGGTAAAAAGTAAACAATCATATTCCTATGTTGTACATATTTTCAAAACTTCTAGCTCCTGGATTCGCATAACCTTCTGCACCTTAACCTCTATAGCACAGTTTATAATAACAGCTCCAAAGACTGTGTACATTGTGAGCAATAATAAGAGTCTTTGCCTTCTAAATAACCATGTTCTAAACATGTTGGCTGAGTCTCATATAGATCAATAATATTGGGATCCTTTTTAAGAATAAAGGTGGGATAATGCTTTAAATAAATAAACAAACAATCAATTAATTAATTAAATAATTAATTAAGAGCAGTGCTGTTGGGCTGAAACAGAAATGTCTAGTTTTTAAAAGTGAGGCCACAGTCAATTAAGAGGTTTTTACTTATGGCAAGGATAGTTTATCTAAATACCTTATTTGTATACCCCAAACATTTGTGAATTGAAACTTAATAGCAGTTATTTTTCAGCCTCTGTGAGGAGAGAAAGAGGTCATTTAAGCTTTTCTAAAACTGAAAGTGTTAAAACCAGTAGTGTGAAAGACAGCATAGATGTGGAAGGAGTGAAAAACAAAGAGAAGATGTTTCTTACCGCCAGCAGGGTTAGCTGATCTGGATCCTGGATTATGAGAGCAGCCCAAAGGACAGGCAGAAAGGGAATCAGAAAAAGCAAGACAATGCAGAGTTCAAGAAGCACTGCTAGTTGCATGCAACACACATTATTTTTTGACAAAACACACCAATATTCACATTTCGCAGCATACCATGGGTTAATACACAGCAACTATGTCTACACAGACAGTTCCAGCATAACTTTAAGAGTTCTGGGGGAAAGGGACTGTTTGGAGTTGAACAAAACAACTTATATCCATATCAACTTTTAACTGGTAATATCCTGTGCAGCTGCCCCAGAACATGTTGTTTTGTAGCACAGCAGGTTAGCATGATTATCCCTTGGGAATAACAATTCCACCCAATGCAGTGCAAAAAAAGAGGATATACAAACTGTTACAGCTCACTGGAAAGTGATAAAGGTACTGAATTACCATGCTTGTTTGGGGACTGGGATAAGCGGTGGGGGTGGATTCATGAACCAGTGTGCAACAGGCCTGTTGCTTTCCAATCACCCTGAAAGTAGCAGCTCTAGCTCAACCCACAAGCACAGCATTTCCTGTCAACATTTATTCCTTTACGTGAACAAGGGGTTAAATTTAATCTTGTAGTGAGAATGCAAAGTCACGCCTGTAAAAGTCAAGTCAATGGATGACTGATGGCATGCAGCTGGAACAAGCTTAGGCAGCGCTAGTTAACCATGTTCAGCTGCTATGTCTGCAGTGATGGGCTGCTCTCACTATTTAAGCAAGAGAGTGAGAACAGCACCTTGTCACTCAGTTGTGAGTCTGGTGGTCATTACTTCTGTGAAAGTTACGTTGCTCTGAGAGGTCTATGCACAAGCCTATGTACATAATGCCATGTACATAATGCCATGCTGATATTTCAAGTCTAAAATATAATGCTATGTCATATCAGAACTCTCTCTGTGTTTTTCCTTATACGTCCGCGTCTTTGCTCTGCTTATAAAAGGGAGGATTTGAAGCTACCAGATAAGAGACTCTGTGTAACTCCAAGGTTCGCTTTCCCTAAAAGAGTGCTCTTGGAAGTTTCATTATCCAAATCTGACTCCAAGCTTCCAGAGAGGCTAATGCCACATCCACCTTTGGAGTTGGACCGACGACAACATTTCCTAGCATTCCCTCCCCCTTTCCCCCATTTGTAGTAGCAACGTCTTAATGTTGTTAAGAGTTTAGAACACAACAAAAGATCATTGTAAGAATGAAATAAGCAACAAAACAACAATAACATCAGCCCTGGCAGAAACACTGCTTCCAAGCAGTTACTTGTAATAAGATGATTTGCCATGACACTTGAAAGCACGTCAATTTCTGGGCAGCAGCTGCGACTTAGGGCATGAGGTGTTAGAAAGTCCAGCCTAATTAATTCTGAATTATTTCCAATATGGAAGTCTACACTGCACAGCTGAATAGGACTACAATACTAACAAGATGGTAACTGTGTTTTAGCTTTACTACTTGTAGTGATATGTTTCTGTTGATTTGGATAGGATTGAATATGTAGGTTTGGTCTTAATTTGAGTCTAGAATATGACTATCATTGATGAGCTGCTTCTCTGAAACCTTCTTCTGGCTTGATCTTAAATACTAATGTGAATTAACAATATGAGCTGCACTCATTCCAAGATAAACTGATCCTCACTGAAAACTTCACATTAATCTCTTGTACTAACATAAAAAGTAAAATTGTGGAGATCTAGGGGCCTCTTCATGAATGAAAAAAGATTTATATCTCATTGCTCCAGCCCATCTCTATCTGTTGTTATAAAGCATCCAATATTCACAATATACTGTAGATTCTTCTGTTTTCTCAGTCCTTTTAACTTGATATTCTTTGAAGCAATAGTTCAAACAAAATAGTTCTTTTTCAAGCCAGACAGAAAAACCGATTGATAATAGTTTACCAAAATAACCCTTTCCCTATTATATTAAGAATGTTCAGTGTTGCATATGCCCTTTCCCCTTCAGCCCTGATGACACATATTAAGGATAAGCTTGCCTTTTAAGCGGCATTTGGTTGACATGCTATCCTTCCTGTATATATGAAGCTTGACAAGATCAAATGACATACATTTGGGAAGCTCCCTTCATTTGAATTGACTGAGCTGCATCTGAGCTCCACATTTTAAATTTGTCCATTAAAAAAACACCACTGACTTGGTTTTTCTAGTTTTCATAGAAGGGATGGGGAAAATGTGTCCTTCTGAAAGTTGATGGGCTACAGTTCCCATAAACTCTAGCCAGTACGACTGCAAGCCAAGGGCAATGGGAAATGGAGGCCAACAGTATCTGGAGGAATGCATACTCTCTATTTACTCCTGCTCTGAAATCTACTAGACTCTGGAGGATTTTCCTCCTGCACTTATGAAAGCTTAAATAGTTAATTCTCACTTCAACACACTCTGTAGTATTCAAGGATTAGAACTGTAATGATCCATCTCAAACTGTGAAATAAGAACAAATATTGGGTGAATTGACATTTTCTCAGAATCAGTGGACACTTTCAAGCCACACAAAAGAAGCCTTCAGTCATGCCACAGAAAACACCTTCTTCTCCCCTTTCTCCATCTATACTAGCATCTGTCTGCTAACTGTCAAAGTATTTCCTCAAATGCTATATTATTCCTTAACTAAAATTATATTTATATGACTAGATATGCTCTTTTTACCTAAGCGAAATTATAGTAGGTCATACAGTATCAAGACAAAGGAACCCACAGCTACCTTTCTTTATTAAGGTGTAGTTCCTTTCTCTCTTATTACAAATGCAGGGCTTTCCTCACATTTGCCACAGTGCTCAAAGCAACCAACAAAAAAGCCTCAGCAAAAAAAGAGAGAAAGAGACATATTCTCCATATTTCTAGGAAGACATGCTTCCATGGTGCTGGATAGTCTTGGTTCCCTTTAGAAACTCCTTTCCAGAGATGAAATATACTTAATGAAACTAACTGGAGTGAATGGAGCACTTTTCAGAGGACAGCCAATAAAGCAAGGTAAAAAATATATACATATATAGACAGCCTTCCTACAGAACCAGAGTCAACAGGTTCTTACGCTGGGACTGTGAAACCACTTTAGCCCGACTTCGGCCTCGAGTGTCAGCAGGGGTTGAGGTGATACTGGTAGCACTTCCAGAGCTTTGCCTCCTTGTGCGGATACGACCTAGTAAACACAAAAAAACAGTGGTTAACTATTTTAAATGACTGTGTTTTAAATGTATTCTCACCCACATTTTTCTATTGTGCTTTGACTGAAAGAAGACAACTAATGCAGGACTGTCCATTCAAGTAGTCCTACGAGGTACAACACCTACTCCAGAATGCTTTAAGGCAGGTAACAGGAACCTTTGGCTATCTTGGGATTGTTGGACTTCAACTTCCATCATCCTCACCACTGGCAACCTGGTTGGAGTAATGTGAGTGATGGGAACTGGAGACAGCCACTTCCCCCACTGCTTTTTAAGGAAAAGTTTCCTAAAGCCTATTCATCGTGGCCAGTTAAACCAGTAACAACTATGCCAGATGGGAAGTTTTTCCCTATTTTTTCATGGCAAACTCAACCTACGTGCTCTCAAGCCAATTCTCCTTTAGGTCACACAGATGGTACCAAAAGTACTCCATATGAAGTTTATCAATGGAGAGTTTTATTCTGTAAAAAATTTACTATGTATACTGAAGGAAGAAGTTATTTTAATTATTTTTTTGAGCAAAGGTCTCTTTCATGGAGGGTTATTTATATTACAATCTTCTTAGCATGCTGGTATATTTGTCTCTTCAGATCCAAGCAACTACTGTATCGAAACTAGTATGTCTGGTAGCACACTGATAAATTAAAACCTGCTCATGAACAGACCTTTATGATTATGAGGGGAAAGCAACAATTCCATACTCCTAAGACAAGGAATAGTAGTTTTAGGTATTCTCAATAAAACCATTTCAATAAAACGTAAGGTGTGTTTTAACAGAAGACAATGCCAAGACCTTGACTGTCCCTCACCAGAGTCTCAAAAACCAGTCAGCACATGAAAGGGAACAAATAGAGAAAAAGATCAGTGGGGACACCATCACCTGTTCCTATCAAGCCAGACTGAGCTGAGCTGATTTGCTTTCATGTGCTTTGTTTTTTATGTAGCCACATATGAAATATGCTTGAGAGCTCCTTATGTTATTAGCAAAGAGACCGTCGGGACGATGACAGGACTGTGATGGGGCCAAGTCACAGGTCAGACTGAGTTGGTTCATGATATTGTTGAAATACAGTGGGGTCTCGACTTACGAACTTAATCCATATTGGAAGGCAGTTCTCAGGTCGAAAAGTTCTTAAGTCAAATCTGCATTTCCCATAGGAATGCATTGAAAACCATTTAATCCGTATCTGCTCTTTTTGTCCATAGAAACTAATGGGAAGCTGCTATTCCGCCTTCTGCCACTAGAGGGGGATAATTTTTTTCTTTTTTCCTTTTAACCTAAGATGACTTAGCTTTAAAAAAGGGGGGAAAAGAGTTCGTAACTCGAATCTAAGTTCGTAAGTCAAGTCCATATATTCCTATGAGAGCGGTTCGTAAGTCGAAACGTTCGTATGTCGAGCCGTTCGCAAGTCGAGACCCCACTGTAATAAGAAAGGGTGGGATGGAGCCATTTTTGTGCACGTTTTATCTGCTTATGGTTTTTGTTGCTTTTATCCTACAGCATATTAACATAAATTGCTCCTCTCTATCATCTACTGCTTTCGTCCATCGTTTTGTTTGCTAGCAGACTTCCTCTCAACATACAATTAAGAAGAATTATTCTCTGGGTTCACACACACAGACACACACGCTCATATCCTGATTGTGTGATTACTTCCACAGATACTTCCTTATCTAAACTTTACACTGATTCCTTAAGAAACATGCCCTTGGCAGAAAATGGAAGAAAGGGCATTAATATATTCAAACAGTAATGAAACCAGTTTATTTTAATATTGGAATTGTATGCTATAAAATTATTTTACAAAATCATGTTATGCTTGTAGCTCCCTACTATGTTCTGCTTAAACCATAGCTTAGCCTAAACATAACCGAACCGGACATGAATAATCTGTTTGGCTGCTCATTTTCATACTTACAATCTAGAATTATAAGTAGAAAAATCTGAAAGAAAGATAATGGGCCTCTTTAATTATTTGACTGTGATGATCTTCTTCTCTCTATAACTTCTCTCAGGTCCTAAAAGGACAATTCCAGAAAGCATATTGTACAATTAACATCTGGTAATTACCAGTCAAATTTACCTTAAAGTATCATGAAGTAGAAAACAGCACAGTTTCAAATAATTAAGACACTAAACATCGTAACTGGGATAAGCATCGCCTTTTAGTGGGCAGTTTTCTGCTTGAGTCTTTAACTAACCTCAGATTTAGAGACTGGAGGAGAGTCACGAGATCATGGGTACTCCATTCTTTGTGTACATTAATTTCGTCATATTCCTAGATCTCGTTTCAGTGTTCTGGCCCAAAATACATTTTAAAAATCAATGTGTAATCAGAGATTGTTAAAGGGAATTGAGGAGCCTAACTACCTTTGTTTTGAACAGGATAAGGGATAACAGCCGTAATGCTGAAACAGGTGAGTAGAATCTGTGGATGACAGAAGAGGGTAGGGGCTGGCACGTGCCCTCTACATCCAGTCCTTAAGTTCAGATCAGCATTACACCCAAACCATAACTTGGTCTGAGGAAGGAGGATTTCCTACAGCAGGCAAGAACTACAATGACACAGAATATATTCAGGCTACTCGTTCTGCATAGTTAATAAAATAAAAGGCCTACAAGGAATCTAGGCAAGGAACGGCAACTATTACACAGCTGGGAAAAGGATTTGTGTGTGTGTGTGGGGGGGGTAGTTTACAACTCTCAAAACCCCTTAGACAGCATGGTAGCTACAGGATTCTGTAAGCTATAATATGAAAAGTAATTTTTGGACTCTGCCTTTAATATGAGAAATTGTAAACAGCCATGTAGCACTTAGAAGATAAACTAGTTTTTTTTCAAGCTTTCATGTGTCCAAGCACTTCTTTAGGTGAATGAGCATGTCTATTCCACTGATATGAAATGAAGTACTTAGGCACACATGAAAGTTTATGACAAATGAAGACTTGTTAGTACATCTTATAATGGCTATTATATCTTACAATGGCCACGTGACTATTTATGGTTTCACTTTTGTTATAGCAACCTAACACAGCTACCTCTTATGTTTGCTTTTAATATGTTTTCTTTTAAATACTTTTCTATATATAAACAACTGTCCAATTTTCCCAGCACAACCCAAGCAAGCCTCCATTCCTGTACATTAAATCTATACCAAATATGTAATAAATCCCAAATGAGCAATGGCATGTATAGAGCATTCAATGCTGTTGGGCTAGGTTCCCTCAAAAATGTAGACACTACATCCTACTAAGTACTGTGTCCAACAAGAAGGCCATACTGAAAGACATGATGAAGGGTGCTGAACAACTATTATCATGAGTAAGAAAAGAATACCATGCAAGAGGTCATGCAAAAGGCACCAGCGAACACAGATGAAAACCAGGGACCACTGGCGAGATAACATAGACCTGGTACAGCCAACAACAGACCTCAGGTACAAAGAGACTGCTTACCCTCAGCTTTACTGGTAGTACCATCTTTAAGCAAATTTAAAAAAGAAATAAGGAGAGGGATAATAGGGAACAATTAGTAATATCAGCAGAAGTGGGCAGTGTGTGTTTAGTGAAAAAAACAAAAAAATCAGTTGGTTTAAAGAAATAAAGTTAGTCTGTTAAATAGAAATGTAACGTCTATGCACCTAAAAGGAAGAATAAAGGGGGGGGGAGTATGGGCAGCTACCCAATATTCCTGTTACCAGACTTTTACTGCCTCATTGTTCTTAGCTTTAAATATTGTCTTTGAATGATGTAAACCACCACTGTATAATCGTTGTTTTCAACTTTTAAAACTGTCTTTCAGTGATGTAAGCCACCTTGGGTCCTTTTTAAGAAGAAAGGTGAGGTAAAAATATTTTAAATAAATAAATAAATTTCCATATTCTATGGTTCTACTTTTCCAGACTTTTCACCTTTGTTCTGTTTGGCTAACTGGTTTTTAATTCCGCTGTGCATTTCATAGGATAACTGTTTTGAAAACTTTGTGTAAATGAATCTGAGAGGCTTGTACTAATCATATAAAATGTAAACAAATGTTTGCCATTTGTTTAAACCAGAATGCATCTTTTGAGTCTATAATCAGAACAAGAGCTCCATCTGCTGGCAAGACGAAACAACCTCACAATGCTCCCAGCAGATTAAAGATGATTATTTCACATAATCACACTTTTGCCATGACCTTGCAAAGACTGCTGGTTGATGTTTGAATGGCTGTAAAGGAGTTACTCATAAGCAGCTCATCCTTTAAACCCAGAAGGGAAGAAAGCGAATCTGACGTCCTTTCACGAGACTGCTGTTTTAATATACTAACAGGGAACTGGGAGGAAGCACAATTCAGCAAACTGAGGGAAGAAGACTTCAAATATTACCTCCCACATTAACTAACAAAACTAATGATAGCTCTGTAAATGTTTGCTTCTTTGTAAATCCCTCCTCTTTGTCTTTGCTCTTTAAACTTCAGTACAACCAGAGTTATATACTGTTACTGTGAGTATAACTTTTGCAGAAAGACAGGTAGGAGCTTCTTGTGCAAATATATTTGCTTAAAACCCCTGAAAGATGGAGATTTCTGTGTAATAACAGCATTCTTCAACTGTAATGTAAAGAAAGTGAAGTGAAAGGGAACCTCCTGATAAAGTGAAATAAACATACAGAATTTCAATACAGGAAAACCTTCTGCCTTGGAATTAAAAAGCAGTTTCAGCTGCAGAAAAAGTGGCACCTGAACAATAAATGAAGGGAAATTCACTCAGATTCTACAATGACACGGACACCTGCAGACAAGATTTCTGCTTTGAAGATCCAAATGTGCAAACTCACCAAAACCAAGAAAGAACCTTCCTTCTGAAGCAAAATAGTTCACATCCTCTGGAACAGGTACTATGGTATTTCAGCAATCTGTTTCACTCTGAAAATGCCCTCTCTACAGCTTGCTACATGCGACAAGCCTACATCCAATGCCACAATCACGGGAGCACTAAGATATATGGCCCGTCCCCTGCATTCTTCTCTGGTGCTGCAAACATACTCCATGGGTTTTTCCCTCTCATCAGAGAAGGTTTCCGGGCTGCTTGGAGGACTGCTGTAGGATGCGGAGATTGTGTCACTTTTCCACTTAATGCTGGATTCCATTATTGCACGATGAGAAATCTAGCACTGGATACAGCCCACAGACCTGAGCAATTTCTGTCATTTTGCCTCCCCAGAATACTGGGAAAATTTTTACAATTACCACAGATTTTCACTGTGGTAGAATGCATTTCAAAGGCAAAGCAGTCTATCAAGCAGCAGAAGCCAGCAAATGCTGTATACTGCCATACTGTTCCAAATACACCCTACTAGTGGTGTTCAAATACTTTCCATCACACACTGCTTTCACCACACTGATTACCAAGACCTATTTCTTACCAACAACAAAGGAGTCTGTTTCCTCTGACAAACAAAGTTAAGTCTAACTTTACAGACTTGTCCTAGTACCAATACTCTTTCTAATTGGTCTTTGACTCAAGTGATATACAGACAGTTATCCTGTTTTCCTCAAAATAAGCCCTAGTATGATTTTTCAGGATGCTCGTAATGTAAGTCCTACCCCAAAAATAAGCCGCAGTTAAGTGAAACCCTGCCTCCACCATTGTGCAGCAACCAGAAGATGGCATGACTATATTTGAATAAACGTAGATTGTTGTGCATGAAAAAAAAAATAAAACATCCCCTGAAAATAAGCCCTAATGCATTTTTTGCAACAAAAATTAATATAAGACCCTGTCTTATTTCTGGGGAAACACGGTATTACTGAGGAGACCACAGAGAGTAAGTTTTAAATAAACCTAACTGGAGAATATGCTCTATTTAAGCCACTTCTATGGGTAAAAATACACTCACTTACACTTGCATTTGCCACTGAATTCTGATAAACATAACAGTTTGTACTAAAAGCCCTTACATCACAGGTAACAATTTGTACCTACTTCAGTCTTCGTGATCTGGGAATTTTTGCTACAGAATTCAGAGACTTTAGTGAAGTAAGCAACTAACCAAGTAAACAGCCACTCAACCCATCCAGGCAACCACATCTTTTCTTTGATTACTCAGGCACCTGACAAATTTATTTAGCTAAATTTAGTAAAAACAATGTATTTATTCCATATAATTTTCCAATGGTATTTCTCTACAAGGCTTTGAAGTTCCTTAAAACCCATTTTCCCCTTTACTCTCCAAGTCCAGTATAACTGTTCGTCCCCTTCAAGGCAAAGGAAGTAAGCTTACCTAAAGATGCATATGAGCCTGGAGGCAGGGCTGCGGCAGAACTGAAAGGGGTATCTGATCCGGAAGATGTTACTTTGGACTTGGCACTGGCTGCTGCATTCACATCAATGTCACTGCGAGAACGCTGGAGGGATCCTGACGTTGACACAGATTTCGCACTTACTGTAGAGGCTTTGAATTAGAAGAGAACCATGAATGATCAATATACCTGAACAGTGTTTTTGAACCACTACTGAAAGGCTTGTGTTTAGCACAAGACTTTCAATTTCTGCCAGGGAATTAGTCATGCAATTCTTTATTTGGAAATAGCTTAGAAGAAGAGTTTGCAGGACAAGGTAATGCCACCTAGCTCTTACATTACTACACCTTATTATCACTGTGACACAGTGCTGCTTGTAGGAACACTTAGTTCGATGCAAGGTACCGTATTTTTTGCACCATAAGACGCACTTTCCCCCCTCCAAAATGTGGGTGGGGAAGTCAGTGCGTCTAATGGTGTGAATGCAGCAATTTCGTCGCTGCTGGCCCCGTGGGGGGGAGCGTCGCAAGGGTCCGGGTGAGCCTTCCAGGACCCTTGCGAGGCTCCCCCACCCCCCCACGGGGCCAGCACCGGCGAAATCGCCAGCTTCCAGGTGGGGGGAACGTCGCAAGGGTCCTGGAAGCTCACTCAGATCCTTGCGACGCTCCTCCCACCCACGCACGGGCCAGCACTGGCAAAATCGCCAGGTTCTGGGAGTGTTTTGAGGCTTCCTTCTGGGGCTCTTTTGAGGCTTGGGGAGCCTCAGAAAAGCCCCAGAAAGGGGGGATTTTGACACAGATTTCGCACTTACTGTAGAGGCTTTGAATTAGAAGAGAACCATGAATGATCAATATACCTGAACAGTGTTTTTGAACCACTACTGAAAGGCTTGTGTTTAGCACAAGACTTTCAATTTCTGCCAGGGAATTAGTCATGCAATTCTTTATTTGGAAATAGCTTAGAAGAAGAGTTTGCAGGACAAGGTAATGCCACCTAGCTCTTACATTACTACACCTTATTATCACTGTGACACAGTGCTGCTTGTAGGAACACTTAGTTCGATGCAAGGTAATTTATTTGTCATAAAGTGGTTAAAGTACCTCCGAACCTGTTGAAATGTCTTATTTGTAAGAAAGTAACCCTGAAGCAGTTTAAATCATTCCTCAAGTCACAATGAAGTTTTAATTTCTTCTGGCAAATGGAAGCAAAAGGGTGGCTGCTTTTACTTTTGTTGCAATTATGATATAGAAACAACTACGTGGATTAGAAAATGTTCAGCTGCCGTTATCATTTTTAATAATCGATCAGATCATTTTACCTAGCCAGACTGGAGCTAGCTGTCAGTCTTTTGACTGCAACACAAAAACAAAACAAAAACAAAGAAACCTACAGTTGCTTTATTGCGGGAAAAGAAAATGATCCTTCCCATGCTATTTTTTTAAAAATATGGGCTGTTTCATATGAAGGCAAGAGAAAATCAAAAGGTTTTTTAAAAAATCGGTTTACTGAGAAATGCAGTGTTTCTGTTTATCTTCTGGAAAATGATGTACCACACGAACATATGCCAACACTCTTTATTTTCTATTTGTATTAAAAGACCAAGGTATTTATATGATTAACTGAATGTTGCACAGTGAAGATACCATGGAAGCTCAGAGTGGCACCAAGTATCTTTAAAAGTATTCTACTTTCTTAGCCATAGTTAACTGGATTAGAAATGTATGGCATGTTAGAAAAAGATTAATGAAATATGCAGTTGGGGTGGGGTCCAGGGGCACTGTATGTAAGGAGTCAACATCAGCTGCTGCTGCCTTACACCAAGTATTGAGCTGTAATGTAAGGCCTTACAGCGCTGAGTGAAACCCATTATGGTTCTGGATGCCACTCAATTCCCATGTTTCTGGGCCATGGTCCCCAATGTGAAGGTGAAGTCCAAGAAGTACTGGAAATAAAGATGATGGTGGCAGTGCCAGCTTTAGCTGTAAAAGAACAGAGTGGGGTGTATGGCAGCCGCAAATTGATACTGACTTCTTTTTGGTCAAAGTCCCTGTGCCCTGGGAGACATGTTGGGGAAGTGGTCCAGAAGCATTAAGAGTGTGGTATTAGAGGCCTTGTGCCCTGGGTGTTTCTTTACCAGCATCTCTGGCGAATGGAATTTCTGGACTGTTAGAACTGTGTCACTTGATTATTCACATCAGTTCCCTCTCTGCTTGCCATGAGTGGTCTCCATTCATCCTCATCCAATAAGATTCTGGAGGAGAGTTTACCCAGAAAGGACCACTAGAACACTGTGCACAGGGTTTATCAATTCTGTTCCAGGCTCTGATTTAAAATGATGTTCACTGCAGTGCTTGCTTATCTTAAGGGTAGATGCAGACTTTTCAGCTTGGAAAATAATTTGAAACGTATTTGGAATTGCGAAACAATTAAAGACATGGATGTTTCGGCAGGCCTTCCCATCAAATAATTCCTGATGCCTTTCCTTTCCTCTTTCTTTATTTTTATTGTTTCTCTCACTTTGTGTATTGCTTTTATTATTTAAATTGTTTATATATTTTCATTGTATTTTTATGATTGTTAGCCGCTTAGAGTGGTCCTGACCCGACGAGAATGCTCATATGCATTCCAAAGTTATGCTTCTCAAAACTATGAATCTCTGCTTAGCATTCTATTGCTATTTACCAGTCATTTGACAAAACAGATGACTGTGGACAAATAACATCATTTATACAGTGTTTTGAGACTGCTTCATAAAGACAACTGTATTTTTTAATTTAAATTGTATTCATTTTCAATAGGGATAGGATTAGAGATAGGAGGAAGAGGGGCTGGGGGAGTGGACATGTGCAGGTGAAGGGTAAAATTCCAGAGAGCACGAGGGTACTTTTATATCCACTTATACAATTATACAGTGGTGCCCCGCATGACGACGATAATGCATTCTGTTAAAATCACTGTACAGCGAAATCGTCATCATGCGAAAATAAAAACCCCATTGGAATGCATTGATAATCAGTTAATGCGTTCCAATGGGGGAAATACCTGCTCGTGCAGCGAAGATCCTCCTTTGCGATCCCTGTCTTGTGGAAATAGGTCCGGAAAACAGCGGGAAGCCATTTTGCAAACCACCGATCAGCTGTTTTAAATCATCGTATTGCGAACAATCAGTTCACGAAGCAGGGACCTAATCATCATTAAATGAAAAAACCCCATAGGAACCATCGCAAAAAAGGCATCATCAAGCGATTTCGTCGTTTAACGGGGTAAGTGTCTAGCGGGGCACCACTGTACTAGAATAAAAATATAATGAAAAAGAACAACTTAACATGTTTTACCAGAATTACTATGGTTACTAATCTCTCCACTCCCTGATTGGACATTCACATTCTTCTTTTATCTATGCTTTCCAGTCCATATTTCGAGTCCAGCTATAAAATCATTCCACATTTTTGTGTCCTTTTTAAAGTGACCATGTTTCTGCTTTTTTTCCAATACTTCCCATATTATATCCTAGTTACAGTAATTATATCTACAGTATTATCAAATGTTTCATTTCTTTATCTACAATCTCAGGCATAATACTCAATAAACAAAATTTCAATTTTAAAAAACATCTTACAAAATACATTTTTTCAAATTTCAACATTTCATATGCTAATCTCCAATAATTTTCAGCTTCTCTATCTGTCCACTAGCATGGCTGAAAGTACCCTCCTGTATTTTACATTTCCAACACTTACTAAAAAACATTTCATATTTTAAACATATTCTCTCATTGCTATTTCTCTTTGGGGTGCTTCATAAAACAGTTCTTAATTTTCAGTCTTGTAGACAGATAATGTCCAATTTTAATTTCCGTATTTGTTCATAAATTCTTTTGTCTCTGGGTTGAGTCTAAACCATTTACAGTAGCTAAAAACATTCTGAGTTGCTCTTTTTTTTCCTAATAGATGTTGATCTGTTCTTTTTATATGAGTTTCTTGGAGACTCGTTTAATCCATCTTTATTAAGATTTTATTTCCTCTTCTTAGATCCCCTTGTTTCCATGGTGGATTTTCCCTTAGGCACTTCCCTTTGGTCTACTAGCTTGAGTTCTGAACTTCCTTCTGAGTTTGGTCCCAATGATGCACTTGGTTGCTCCTCTTCCTGTTTCTCATCTATCATTTTCTCTTCTTTCCTACCCAGCCATTTCCCACTTTTCCCCCCACAAAGTCTTCTGCCTTCATTGCTGAATTAATAAATATATCTGTGGCTGGAATTGGAAAGAGACATCTTCAGGTATCAACCACTTACATGTAATTGAGTTTGTATCTCGGGAGATATGTCAACTCCGTATATTGTCTCCTTTTCTGCCACGGGATGTTTCAAAATCCTAATTCCTTTCTCTTTTATAGTGGATTCTTTATTTTGCATGTCTTTTAGAACATTTTCTCGAAATACCATTCTCGTGTATTTAAAATAATTTCTCTGGGGAGTTTATTGGTGTATGCTGTATTAATTCTTCGTGTTGTATCCATATTCTGCTGTACTTCTGGTCGCACCTCCATAAGTGGGGCTAAAAAATTATTTACCAGTTGCACTGTGTCTTCACCTTTTTGTTCTGGAAGATTCTGGATTCCAAGTATGAAGTTGGCTCCCTCCATTTGTAACTTTAGCAGGTTGATTTCATCTTGTTTTCTTTCATGTTGTATCACTACCAGCTCTGCATTCATAGTCTCTTGTCCTCGATGGGAACACATTCATAGTAACTTTTATGAACTTTTATAATAATAAAAAAAGGGAAGAAAAGAAGGTCCAAGGAGATTCTGTAAGAGGTGGACTTTAACTTACTGGGACTGATTCTTAATTTATAACCGAAGCTGGAGAAAGCTGGAGTCTGGGACAGTATAAATCATTAGCTCTGTTGAGGAACTGATGTTTACAACTTAAGTACTTTATGGCTTTCGGCTGGGAGAAGCAAAACAAACAGCAAGCTGGGTTTCTCCAAATGAGGTGCATATTTTGAAATCAGGGATTAGAAAGCATCTTTATCTACCTTCCAATAAGGATGGATACAACCAGAGAGATTATAAATGCCTTTCAGAATATGAAAGTCAACATTATGAACTGTCTTCAAGAGCAGTTTTCGGAACTCCAGACTGTACTTTCGGAACTGAAGAAAAAAACAGAGAATTGGGAATCTCCGTAAGGACAGTGTACTGAAACAGAAGCCGGAGATCAGCTCATTTCAGTAGCACAAGAAAGAGTGGACTTACTGGTTTTTAGAAAGGACTGCAAAATCCTTAAAAAGCAGTTTAGGAAAACTGAGGGGTATTGTGAGAAAGAGAACCAGAGGGGTGGAAACGAGATGTGTCCTACTTTGATGGGTGAATATGGAAATCAGAAAAGTGAAAAAAGGCGTAAAGGGAGATGGAATGATTACAAACCAGGCATTGCTTGGCTTCAATGGTAAATTATGATGATTGGGGAAAATCCAAATCAGAGACAAAATAGTTTAACTGGGTTCCATAGATGGTATTATAAAATTAGGAAAAAGGAATAATTGATGATTATAATAGTAAAATGATTCTGATTATATTTGGAGATAAATGATGATTAAGAATTATTAATTGTGTATTCTGGAATATGTATGATGAACATAATATTAGAAAT